AAAAAAAAAAAAAAAAGAAATCTGCTATCTCCAGGACTGACTTCAAGTCTCCTCCCCAACTAATATCTACCACTGAGCTATGTCCCCAGGGATTGAATTTTTATTTTGAGACAGGCTCTCCCTGTGTTGCTGAGGCAGGCCTTGAACTTGTGATCCTCTTGCCTCATTTCTTAGTGTAGGTGCCCGCCACCATACCTAGCTTCAAAAAACTTCTTAAACATTCCTACTTGAGAACCTACTACTACACATCAATTTTAAGCACCCTTGAAAGTAGGCAAGTTGAACACACCCTATTACATACATCATGTATATTTTTTAAGCTTTATTTATCCATCACTAGATTTCATTTCAGCAAATTGCTTATTTTGACTTTATACTAACATTTCTACAACTAATTTTGTCATTACTGAATGGCATGTATGTAAGACAGATTAATCACATATTAACAGTGACACTAAAGTTTAAAAACTTAACCTTATATATGAAGGTCAGGATCAGACTGACGGAAATGGATGGAAACCAACATTTTCTACAAATCTGATGGACTTGCACAAGAGTGCAAATTGAAATTATTATCACTGACTAAATGCTTTTGAAAGGAAAGGCTTTATAATTGATCTTTATTCTAGTGCAAAATGCCAAAATTCGTTCAGTAACCTTGTCTCATAAATTTTAATATGATATAAAATTAACTTTAACTAAAGAAAGTCTGGCAAGGGAAGGGAGGAGGAATGGGAATAGGAAAGACAATAGAATGAATGGGACATTATTATCCTATGTGCACATATGATTACATAATCATTTTAATCGTATATCATGATTAGAAGAACGAGAATATGTCAAAATACATTCTACATCATGTATAACTAATTAGGAAAAAAAGTATATGAAAACTTAAAAAAAAAAGAAAGAAAACCTGGCATTTAAGAATCTAAGATAGGAGGACAATATCCTAGTTAAATCTTACAGTTCAGATTTTCAAAGATGGGCTAATCCATATTTCTTAGTTGACCCTAAGTAGAAAAAAATTAGTACTTTGAGAATTAATGTTGGTTTTTCTTTGCCTTTTTTTTTTCTGGTACTAGGGATTGAACCCAGAAGTGCTTTATCCCCATCCCTTTTTGAGACAGGTACAAGTTGCTAAGTTGCTAAGGCTGGCTTTGAACTTAAGATCCTTCTGCCCCAGCTTCCCGAGTCACTGGGATTACAAGGCATGTGCACCTAATGCTGGCATTTGCAGAGACAAAAAAATCAAATGAATTCAGGTTAGGTAAAACATTATTACATAAAATTTTCCTCAACACATGCTACAGAGATTATCTGATTTAAGAGATACATTATGCCAGCATTATTTCTGCTTACAAAATAAAATCAATTTTTACAAAATTAAAGACACTTACTTGCTGTGACAGTGCAAAAGCAAGTCAATAATGAATGTCTGCCAAGCCTTTTCTTTACTGAGAGCATCTAAGGCTGTTGGAATCAAGGCAAAACATAATGTCATCACTTCCAGTGCTTCACAGCAAACCTGTTCATCTTCCAAGTCCAGCTCATTGCCTGCATTGGTCTGTAAAATTAATTGGGAACAAATTACCTAGAGATGCATTTCAGAAAAATCTCATGTGATTCTAAGACTCCAAAGTAAATGCTTACAACTTATCTACTTGCTTCAACAACACAGCCTTAGTCTCCTGCAACTCTTCAGGCTCTTTTGAAATAGTCTAGAAAGAATTATAATGGAAAACAAAGTCTAATTGGAGTATTTTTCTGTCTAAAAAAGGGCTGAAGGAGCATATTGAGCATGACATGTACTTCTTTGTCCTTAAGGCTCCTTCTAAGTTATATACTTTTATACCAAAAACCATGCTTTTCTAAAGAACCACTCTAGTATAGTACTTTTGACTAGTTCATCTAATTTTCCTATTGTTCCATTTCATTCAAAATCACTTGTCTTGAACAATTATTCAGGAAGATTTTGAAAGCAGCCTAAAATATGCTTGTGAATTTATTCATTAAAAATAATAACTATAATACATGACTGCAACAGAATAGGCATTCAGTAACTTACGGAATGAAGACCCAGGACTTTAAATAGACAGATACTATTGGACACCAATAAAGTAATGAAAATTGAGGGTTATATTTGCTATAAAATACAAGTTCTACTGAGCCATAAAAGTACATATAACTCAACCTCTCCTTCTAAATATGTAGCAGTACCTACCTAATAGGACTAGGTACATATGACAGAAAACCAAAGAGCCAAGCATAACTTCTGTTGTGTAAATAATTTAATACAAGGTCAGATATGATACCTAACTGGTTGATATTTTTCCTACTTTTTTGACTGCTTTAACAGACTCACACAAAAACACTTTTAATGCCATGATACCATAAGATAATTAACTAAACCACAATTCACATAGTATTAAAGGGTGATGAAAGAGTAACAGAATTGGAGAATGCAATTCAATGATACGATTTTATCCAATCCCCCAAAGTAGTTAAAAAAGGGGGGGGGGACCAATTTTATTTGAAAAGCAGATTCAGGGCAGGATTCTTGAGTATTTTCAAAGCAAGATTTTTATTAAATTCTCAACTATAGATACCAGTTGATTTTCAGTCATTAACATGCAAGGAGGTAGAATTTTTAAATATAGCAAACAATAAAAATTTAGCCACATACACAATTAGCAACATTTATTAAAAAGAATATATTTCTGTCACAATTCTTACCTTTTCATAAATTTTAGTGATTTCTTCATTTGGGCTAAACACTAGTTGTAATGCCCCACATCCTGATGCCCAGATGATTTTTTGTATAGCTCTAATGACACAAATATCAGGCATGTATCTTGATGCCTGCAAGATAATGAGTAATTAAAACTATTGATAGAAATAGGAATTAGTGAGAAGTAGTATCACTGTCTTTAGGTTTTCAAGTTTCCTTCATCCTTTATTTATTTAGCTTAAACAAAAGTATGCTCTACAAATTAGTACCAGAAACCACACTGTTTTTATCAGGGTCTTAAAATGACAACCATTCTACTCTGTTGCTTACCCAAGAGACTTGAAACTATCTACACAAACACATGCACAGAATATTAAATAGCAGCTTTCTTAATAGTCAAAACAGTCCAAGCATATGGATATACAAAATGTGAAATATCCACAATGGGATACTATTCAGCAACAAAAAGAAATAACTACTGATCCATATAACATACATAATTCTCAAAGTCAATAGTCTGACTTTCACATATATATTACATACATATGCATGTGAAAAAAAGACACAGAAGAAGACATGCTATATGATTCACTGTTAGAAAATGGAAACTCCTCTTATAAGGACAAAAAGATCAGGGACTACCTGAAATGAGAGTTGGAGGAAAGAATGGACTGTAGAGGGGCAGAAAAGACTAAAAGAAATATTTTGTGTCTTGAGTCTTCATGTACAATGCCCTAGATTTGATCCCAGTGCAATAAATAAACTTTTGGGTAGTGGTTTCACATGTGTGTACTTGTCAAAATTCACCAAACTGTATACTTTCTGTTATCTGTAAACAAAGATATAAAAAACTCATATAATCCTTACAATACTAACCTCATCAGATATCTGCTGAGCAAGACGAACTGACACATTTCTAAGCATGCACTCAGATGATGGGTTAGGAATGCTCTGAAGGGCACTTTGTAGCACCACTGCTTGATCATGAGTAACCTGGTTGACCTGGAAAAACACTTTATTTAAGTAATTCGTACATAAGCAGACCCAATCATTTGCACTTCATTCATCAACATCCAAGATGACCACCTCTGCAGAAATATAGAGCCTGTAGTGACTTAGACAAAGCACTTGATGCTGCCAACAAGGTGTGGGTTCCCTCTCTTGCACTTTGAAGTGCTATGCGCCTCTCTGCCAACTCCATGTTAGATTAATCCACCTTGTGTCTCAATATCTGGGTTCAGTGTAACTTGCAGAGGATAAATGATAATCTGAATAGACTAGGTTTAACGTTAGGGACTTAGTAAAATATTATACATCTTTAATATACATGCCCCTAGGCAGACCCTGCTTGCATTTTCCCCTATCCATCAAATTCTACTCTGTAAAGGAGAAAAGGAATGGAAAGGGGTGGGGGGACTAACTTATGAAAGATATCAGTGTCATTCCTTCACAGAATAACCAAATTTTACAGTCTACAAAAACAGATAATATTTAACAACACAATTCTAACTGCCTTTGAGTGGTAACTTCCCTTGTATGTACTATAAATATTTCTATGTCATCATTTAAAATATTTCTATATTACTAATTTTATATATTTTACATATTTTACTTCCTATAGACTATGAGCTTCTTGAGATTGGAGGCTATTATGTACTAATGGCACATTCTCTGAAAAGGTTAAAAGCATTCTTTATTTTTGGACTTCATTAAACATCCGCATTAGGAATTATGACAAGAATCTGTTCTTATATCAAAACAAGAACTTGTCTTTTAGTGCTTCCAAAAAATCCCAACAAAACGGACCCACAACAACAAAAACAATATAAAACATAGGTCATTTTATTTTATATTGAAAATTTCTAACACATATGAAAGCAGAGAATAATTTAATAAACTGCCACATATTCATTACCCTGCTTCAACTCTTATGAATAACGGACCAAATTGCTATTATTATTATTATTCCTCCTAATTTCCAATCTCAGTATTGTTTTCAGTCAAATCTAATATAATAGCATTTACAAGTATTTCAGCCACTATTACAGAAATATGGGGGGGGAGCTTTTCCTTTTAAATGAAACCATAATATTATCATACCTAAGACATAATTATCTTATCAACATTCCAATCTTCCTTAATTAAGACATAATTTCTAAAGAATAAAATCTCATCGCTGAAACTTTTATATTCTGTCAGTACCTTTGTAAAATTATCACTTACAATGTATATAATACAACTAAAAGTTTAGTTTGACCTCTCATAAGTAGGTGTCAAATTCTGGCATATTTGGAGAACTTTAGTACTATGGATCAAGGATGCCACCAAGGAAAAGGCAGTCAGATAAAAAGCTCAGAAGTGGAGGTTAAGCTGATCAAAGTGGGAAGGGAAGCTGACAATAGGCTAAATTAATTACACCCGATCTTCACACGTCTGGCAAGTACAAGTTATTAAGAGACTCACAAGGGGTTTTTCTTAAATTTAAAATAATTTAAAGTCAAGTAGGATGTAAGCAGCAAGGGGAGGAACTGCCTTCTGAAATCAGTAGTATACTCAGTGAAACATTATTTACACTTTTAACACAAATATACTCTAATAGAAGAAGCTTCTAAAACAGGTACCCAACTGGAAAAAAATTTGCAACATTTTGAATCAACCCCAAACTCTACTTAAAAGTTGCTGATAAGTTTTATCTTAAGAATTACTATCATAAACTATTACAAAGAATATTTTTTAAAGTCTGTATTACCGATGTCATAGGATTCACGCCTTCTACACTTGGCTGACAAGCTTCTGCCACTGCCCGAACATGGCCATAGCCAATAGCAGTTAGCAACAGTTTGGCTATTTTAAGAGCATTGAGGTAGGCACCCCTTCGAGTTTCCATATCTGCATTTGGTAGGAAGTTATTTCTGGTTAGCATACTCAGGACGAGGGGTAGGCCACCACTTTTCAAGAAGTGAAACTGAAAATCAGAGGAATCATCAGCCAGAGGCGCACCAGCAGGCATTAACAAGGCATAGACCACCAAAAAAAAAAAAAAAAAGAGGGGTGGGGGAGACACTATATTAAAAGATTCAATAACTTCAATTTCTATCATCATTGCTAAGAAATACTTGACCAATTCAAAAATATCTCACCCATGTTCTTCATATTAACAAAAGATCAAAATAAAGAACATGAATGGAATAAATTCAAAAGGGGGAGGGGGGAACCAACCTCTGTTAGGTATAGCACTTGTGAGGCTGAAGGACCAAAGAAAAGCGAGTCGAGAGATGGACTAAGGCTGCTCTCTCCAAGTTTGGCGTGGTCTAAACAAATAGCTCTTAATTTTTCTATTGTTGTACTATCTGTAAGAAAGAGAAGACACGGTCTGAAACAAAACATAATTTATGTTGTCTTCATAATATTTCAGTTGCCACAGGCTCTTTTAAACTAGATTGATTTAATAACACACACACACATCCCCGCCACCCCAAACAGGGCCCTTTAATCAGTCATCTTAAACACAAAGGGAGCAGTAGAGGCTTCAAGTGAACATGCCCTTGTAAGCCAATGGAGACTGAAAAAACAAAAACAAAAACAAAAACCTCCAAAAGAAGCGGTTCTGAGCCAGCACAGTGGCACATGCCTATAATCTCAGTGGCTCCTGGGTTACAAAACAAAACAAAGAACAAAAAAATTATAAACTCTTTCCTCCAAATTCTCTGTGTGTGTCCTCATGACACCACTAGCAACTGGAAAGGCCCTGTCTCAAAAAAATAAAAGGCAGGGGGTGGGGCTGGGGTTGAGGCTCAGTGGTAGAGCATTTGCCTCACATGTGTGAGGCACTGGGTTCAATTCTCAGCACCACATATAAATAAATGAATAAAGTAAAGATCCATTGACAATTAAAAAGATATATTTTTTTAAAGGGGTGGGGTGCTAGGGATGTGGCTCAGTGATTAAGTGCCCCTGGGTTCAATTCCTGGTACCAAAAAAACCAAACCAACCAAAACTAGCTTGCTTCACTGAGAAAGACATGGTGGTACACAGGAAACATTACTAAAAATTTTAGCCAACACTAATAATGCAAATGTTTACCTTAAAATAAGAACTTTGAATTTTTTCTATAGTTGTATAATTAAAATTTTTTGAGTTTCTTCTAAATTACAGTGAAGAGAGTTAAATAAAACAATAATTCCACTATACAATTAGGCATTTGCTACCAAATTTAAGAATAATTAATCAGGGGAATTCTGTCTCTCCTCACTTGAATACATCTTTTTTTTTTTTTTTTAAAGAGAGAGAGAGAGAGAGAGAGAGAGAGAGAGAGAGAGAGAGAGAATTTTTTTAATATTTATTTTTTAGTTTTCGGCGTACACAACATCTTTGTATGTGGTGCTGAGGATCGAACCAGGGCTGCACGCATGCCAGGTGAGCGTGCTACTGCTTGAGCCACGTCCCCAGCCCTACATCTTATTCTTAATGCTTGGGGGCAGAGGGAAGAAAGAAAAAATAGTTAATTACCTTTAGAAAGTACTTTGATAAAGTTCTTTCTAAGTAACTGCCCTATAATTTAAAAAATTGCTCGATGAATTACTAACTACTTTTTTCCTACAGAAAATTAATAGTAAATAAGTTAGTAAATTAAGTAATCATTTAATAAGTGTGCATATATGCATATATTTTTCCCACATTTTATACTGGTGCATTATAGTTGTACTTATTCATGGGATATGTTATGTATTATTATGTGCATTAATTAGTTCAAAGAGCTTATAACAGACTTTGACATATTTTAAAATATTAGCTGCCTTTTTTTTATATTTCTATAAAAAAAAGCAACTTATTCTGCCTGGTAAATAAACAATTTAATCACTCAGTATCAAGCAAGTGTCTTTTTCTGGTGCACACAAAGGACACAGGAGTTAAGTCTAGTTTAGATCATAAGACATCAAATTATAAAGAATACAGAAGCTCCAAGTTGAACAGCAAATCACAGTAGAGGCCCACTTCAGGCAATGATCTGCAAATACCTAAGACATAAAGTCAATTACTAGGACATGCATGCTATGTTTATAGCAGCATAATTCACAATATCCAAGCTATTTAATCAACCTAGGTGTGCATCAATGAATGGATAAAGAAAATGTGGTATATTATACACAACGGAGTTATATTCAGCCGTAAGGAAAAATGAAATTTATGTCATTTTCAGGAAAATTTAAATAAGTCAAACTGAGGTGGTCAAAGGTTATGTATTTTCTGTCACATGTGGAAGCTAGAGAAGAAAAAGTAAAAGATGAGGATGGATCACGTGAAAATCAATGGAAGATCATTAATTAAGGAAAGGGACTAAGTGGCTGGAGGTGGGAAGGGAGGGGGAAAGTGCTGGGGAGAGATATTGGCCAAATTATATTGTTTTACTGTGTATTATATGCATGTAATAATATATAAAACATCCCATGAATAAGTACAATTATAATGCACCAATAAAAATGTGGGGAAAATATATGCATATATGCACACATATTAAATGATTACTTAAATGTTACACAGCTGATTATCATCTAAAAAAAGCATCTTCGCAAAATTTCTGCCTGAGACTCCTGATAAGAGCTCACTCTCGCCATCTGGTGGCACTAAACTCAAATCACAAGACCAAGGATTCTATAGTAGTTTTGTATTTTATAATGTCAGAAGGTTGAATTTGGATATATAATGCTACAACTATTACTGAGACATTAATGAATAAAATAATACAAATTTTATACAATAAAACAGATCGGGATTAAATAAAATTTAGGTAAGTTTTATCTGAGAGGCTAATTTGTGAAGTGACTTGTCTCACTAATCAGAAAGTAAGATGAGAAAGCCAATAAGGTGGTTACTAAGGCAGTAATAGAAGCATAAGACAGTTTTTAAAACTATCACGGTCACTCAGTGGTTAACGCCCAACACCCGCTTCAATCTCCAGTACCAATAAAATATAGCTGGTATATTGTCTGGAAAGCTATGGATGAATATTCCTTGTAAAATCTCCCTAGAAAGGAGATCAACTTTGAACTGATGACCATTTTCTTGGCTTGGAAAAAAAAAATCCATTCATTTGAGAAAAGCACCATCCTAAGTTGGTGGTAATGTAGGGAAGATGATTTATATATATAGATATATCTTCTCAAAAGTTTTGTATTTCTATTTTTTGATTTAATATAAAGATATAAGGGCACAGGATAGAATTATTTACAGGGTAATTATCCTAGAATATAAAAATAAACTTAGAAGAACATAAAAACGAGAGGAAGCAACACTAGAAAGCTGTTGACAAAGCGCTAGCTTATAATATACAATGCCAGTTAACAGATGGAAAAGGAATGATGAAGTGAAAATAATTCTGCAATCATGATAAAAACTGATTTACGTCATAATCACAGTAAATAAGGCGAAAATTTCATCAGGAAAAGATAGGCAATGTCTCAAAACATCTTCCCACAAAAGGAAAAAATATTAACTTCAGAGGAGAAACCCAGCAACTAAGTAAATCTGGGTTAATGTAACCAAAAGGACACAGTGTCTCCTGTTGTGATGCCCTGAGATAAACAAGGCAACAATGTAAGTTGTACTGTGTGGAAAAAAAATATACAACCTGTATAAAATCATGAAGATTTTTGAGATAGACAACACCACAATTGATCTGTACTTTTCGAACACACCAAGGTGATGAAAGAAATAGTGAGGTGCTTTTTTGAATTAAGAAACAGTGCAAGGGGAAGAGAGAGTCTATACACTGAGGTAGCCCAGCATGAAGATTGAACTCAAGCGATGTCAGGACAATGACCATTGAGTGGAGTGAGGCCCAGGATTGAGAGTATAGTCCTGCACACAGAAACGGGGTGGTGGTGATGACTTGTTACATGAAGAGGATAGATTAAATAGGAAAATATGTTAAAGGACAACTACCAGACATTTCACAAATTCAGAAAGATAGAAAATTAGAATGAACCTATCACAGGTGACAACTGGAGGAACTGACATGATCCCATGATTTTAAAATAAATATATACACTCATACACTATATGTATGTGTACAAGGACCCATAGGTCCTTGGAGAAATGGCAGATTCTAGAGTAGGGTTACAAAATACAGGTTGTCAGCCTGAATTATCTTGAGCCAACAAGAACACAAGTGCTCAAAAACTGATGAGAACAAATTAAAAGAAACCAGCTTGAAGAGGTTTCTACTGACCAAATTAGAGATAATTTGAGCATTCAAGTAAATGTCAAGTAACAGATTATAATCCTTTGAATGTAACAGGAAACCATGAGTTCATACAGATATAAATGCATAAAAAAAGCCCAATGAGAAAAAGTATAAACAGAATCAAGGTATCTCAAAATACTTTATTACAAAGGGAAAAGAATAATTTTTCCAGCAAAGAAGGAAAAAACTCAAGTGCTTACAGAGATCATCAGGAGTAAAGGGAGAAACTGAAATCACATAGCATCAGAAAGAACACATGGAGAAGAACAGAACATCACTTATGTGGTATTCCCAAAGACTCAAATTGAAAGCTGTGTACGGAAGGCAAAGAACCACCAAATGAGGACGATGAGGAGGAAGAGGAAAAGGACAACAGCACAGTTGATGGATTATATAATGAACAATAATGGAAAATTATTTGAAAGATTCAAGAAGGTATATGGGAAGAATTAAAGAGATATTTAAACAAATTGGGGAGGATGTAGGAGTAAGAATTTTCATCTACAAAGTGGACAATCAGTATACATCTAAAAGTGACAAAGAACCAGTGGTAAGAGGATATTATTTACAGATATAATGGTACATACATATGTAAGAATAAAAGTTCAAGTTGAAAGTGATTGTTTCTAGGGAATAAAGAAGTAACAATACTGTTGGTGACAAATGATCTACATAACAAGACACATGAAAGCAAATGTTATCTATAAAAGGCTCAGAGTAAATATTTGAGGCTTGTGGGTCACAATTATTAAGCTATGCTATTGCAAAACAAAAGTATCAAAAGACAGTGAATCTTTGAGTGTGGCTACATACCAATGTAATTTTGATTATCTATGTTAAAATTTAAATTTCATGGATCACAAAATAGTATTCTTTTGCATTTTTTTTAAAAAGAAATTTAAAAATTTAGAAACCATCTTAAGGTATTTGGTTATTAAAAAAAAAAAAGGTATTAGGCTGCATTTGGCTTGTGTTTATCAACCCTTAAGTTGTGGTCCATTTAGAACGAATTTGCAAACATATCCCTTTTGTTCAGCATGTACTTTATCATCATTTAAACATTCTTACCTGGTGGCATAAGTTTCATAAGCACTCTTGCTCCATCTCTAAGAGGTGGCATGTTTAGGCTACTACCCAAGTCTGCAACTTGCCAAAGGAAAGAGATGTATCTAGGATGCAGTGACATAATCTAGAATACAAAATATATGAATTACCTGTAAATCATCCCCCACAAAAAACATAATCCAAAGAAGTTAAACTCCATAATTTGTTCATCTCATGTCTACTCTGATATAGTTAGCTTTTGGCATCTTCTCACCTTTACTAATCCTTCCTGATACAGACTGAACACTTTATCTAAGACACTTCCAGTAACTTTGTGATGGCTCTTTAACTGTTCTATTAAATTTCTCCCACATATACAACTTAAAACTCTGGACATACAAAAGGATACTATTCGCACTACTCAATTCCTAATCAAACTGCTGCTGGGAATCAAATTCTTCTGACACTGGAATAGCTGGTGTTACTGTAGTCATTAAGATTTTTGTGGAGAGGGGACAAAGGAGATGTCAAGAAAGGGAGAAATAACTGCTTCTATGGAGGATATTCTGCTGACAATCTAAGAAGATTACAGATATTTTCCTACATAAACAGTTTTAAATAAAGGACCCATTTTATTCTGGTACTGGGGGATTGAACTCAGGGGCACTAGGCCACCGAGGCACAACCCCAGCCCTATTTTGTATTTCATTTAGAGACAGGGTCTCACTGAGTTGCTTAGTGCCTTCCTTTTGCTGAGGCAGGCTTCAAACTCATGATCCGACTGCCTCAGCCTCCAAAGCTGCTGGGATTACAGGCATGCACCACCACACCTGGTGACAATGATATTTTTTGAAATTTATATATTTGAGTATTATAATTAGGCTCTAATAGATTACTTCAATGTAAACACCATATGTACCTACAGGGAAATTGTTTTACACTTCAACTGAGTTACAATCACCATTTAGAGCAATCCATTCTAACCTTAATGGTCAATAGTTGATAACTATTGTAAACTCAAGAAAAACCAACTATTTTGTATACTTCTTTATTCTCAAGATTCTAGCTAGCACAATGTCTTACACACAGTATGTGACAACTGCATCTACTCACCACTCCGGGCAAACAACTTTCCACTTCTGGATTGGGACCATCACTGTAATGGTTACCGTGATTTCCAGGAGATCCAGTTGAGGAATCAGAAGAGCTATCAGGGCTTGAAGGCATATTGGAACTTATTTGCGTAAGTTTGGCTGTAATCAGCTGAAAAGGACATAATGTATTAGTATCAAAGACAAGGAAAAATATTTACACAAAACCCAACTCAGAACCTAGTGACATACCAAGAAAACACCCTAAAATGACATGCTATACTTTTAGAAATTTTAAAAAATATTACCTTATAACCCACTTAGTTTTTAGAAATCTTTTATTCTGATATTTTGTAGGTGTCAGTATGCCTGTTTTAGTTAGCAGTATAAGCCCAAACACCTAACACAGCCTTATGCATAACAAATAAAAAGCATTTCTTGAATGAATTAATAATCTCAGGTTTCGTTTTATCAAAAAAAAATTAGCAAGTATACATACTTTACTTACCGATTTATCTTTAAGGTTTAATTGTCCAATCAACTTCCTATCATCTCCAGGATCTATTAGCTCACCGCCCACAAAGAGCTCAATTTTTGTATGGGCTACATTGGCTTTAATGCGATTGAGAATACATCGTCGAACTGAACCAATTGTATCATTTGTATGAGACCATACCTCCAGGTCATCTACCTGTCTGCCCTGGTTTGGAAATCGAACTACAAAAGAGAGGTGTTTGCCACGGAAAGCTCTGCGGGGAGGGGGAAAAAAAACACATTATCATATTCAGCAGTCTTTCAAATCCAGTGGCCAAGAAAATAAAGCTAGGAATTTAACACTGAGTATTTTCTTATTAAATAAGGGGAAGTGAATTAAAGATACTTATTATTTTTAGTATCCTCAGAATGAAAAAGGATCGCTCCTTTTAACTACAAGTAACTTCAAAACACAACATTTTCATTAATTTTCTACCTACAGTTGCTGAAAATGATGGATATGACTCAAGGAAATTAAGACAGTGACAGAAAATTCACTTATTTTTATGCTATAAAAGCCAATTAAGACTTTATAAATGTGAAATGTAAACTTTACCTTGAGAACATCAACAAAAATGCTAATATATATTTTCCCTGAAAAACTCTAAATATGAAAATTCACCCGAAAATGATATTTATGTTAGCATATTACCTTCTTTTAGTTAAGATACAAATCATACTAAAGGAATAACTTTATCTAATTCTTAAAAGGCAAAAAAAGATGACACTTTATATAAATGGCATTTAAATTACTAAATGATGAAACCTTAAGAAAAATGTTACTTAGCCCATATGAAAATCTTTTTTTCATTTTTTAAAAAATATATTTTAGTTGTCAATGGACCTTTATTTATTTATATGTGGTGCTGAGAATCAAACCCAGTGCCTCACATATGCTACACAAGCACTCAGCCACTGAGACACAACCCCAGCTGCTGAAAATATTATATTTCTTCTTATATTAGCTATCTATAATAGCAGCTTTAAAAAGTTCTAATTACTCCCCAATTTGACTAAGCTATTATTTTTAACAGTTAAAAAGGCCACTATTGCAAACATTCTGTATGATACGAATAACTCAGTTTTTCTGTTTTGCTATGTTGCCCAGGTTGGCCTTGAATTCAGGATTCTCCTGCGCTAGCTTCCCGAGTCGCTGGGACTACAGGTATGCATCATCACACCTGGCACAAATAATGTTTATAATGGGCAAAACACTATTTTGTAAAAAGATTAATTTCCTCACTCTTTTTACCTGTATCGTCTTTTTCAATCATATGATAAGGAAAATACCCAATAATTAAGAATTAGCACTAGTTGATCAGTTATTCACAAACCTTGACATAGGTAGAATTGTTCTTTCCTCATGATAATCACTGTCACATTCATTTATATATTCTCTTAAAACAGTTAATACTCGAACCATTCGAACTGCTTCTTGTCTTGCACAATTAATACTGTCTTTGTCACCGTCCAAAACACACAACGTGTCATAAGAAGCTTTCAAGCGATCAAAGCAAGACTGAATGAAGTCTTCGTGGATCACCACCTACAAATAACGGGCCAAATAAAGATAGTTCAAGTTGCTCTAAGATGGAAAAATTAAGCATATAACATTAACTTAATTAGAGATGACAATGGCTAATTTAAAGGTAGCTCTCAATGAGACTCGGTCTATAGTAATAAAAAAACACATCAAGGTTTGTCTTTTCTGTCTTTTTTTAAAGGAAGCTAGTGTTAATGGAAATTACTAGGATAAAGTAGGCTTCCAAAATGAACTTTAAAAGATTAGGTACTAGTATCAAAACAAATTCAGTAAATCTCTTTGCCATTTCAACAGATGATTAATAATCATATTCAAACAAATTAAGCCAGCCATGTATGTCAAGATTCACTTATGATATTTTGTTTAACAGAAATATGAACTTTTTACCAATATTTTGATAAGAGCTGGAACAAAACAATTTCTAGTTAATTCTGAATAAAAGAATAAAATTCTTGGGGCTGGGGCTCAGTGGTAGAGCATTCGCTTAGCATGTGCGAGGTGCTGGGTTCAAGCCTCAGCACCACATAAAAATAAATAAAAGTGTCCAACTGCAACTAAAATAGAAAGCATAAAATTCTTACAGGACACAGAGTGCCAAGTGTTACCAACTGGTACTCTAATATGTGGGAATTGGTTTTGTTTATTTATTTTGCTTGTGGTACTGGGGATTGAACCCAGGGCCTTGGCCATGCACAGCAGTTGAGAAAGGGTCTCACTACGTTGCCCAAGTTGATCTGGAAATTGCAATCCTCCTGCTTCGGCCTCTCAAATGGCTGGGATTACTACAGTCACGTGCCACTGTGTTTGGTGTATGTGGATGTTTTAAGCACACAGATTCTTACCTGATTAACTTGTAGCCTTGGACCAAGGTTTGTGTATATCTCTTTCAGTAGATCTATAGCTCTGCTGGCAATATCATCATTACTCTGAATCACAACCTAGGTTCAAAAAGATTGAAATGTTAATTCTCAAGACATGTTTAGTTGATCATATGCTCAATTATTTTTAATATACTCTTCAAAAATTAATATTTAACTATAATCTGACTTTAATAATCAAGTGAAACTGGTACAAATAGACCAAAAGAATAAATGAAAAATTTTAGTCTTTGAATAAAGAAAACTATTTAAGAACGAGACATTTTACTTAAGATAAAATAATCTTTGACAATTATTATTTAACCCTATAATTTTAACATCTTATTAACCAAGTCGTAAGGCATTACAGGAGGAATTCAAATTAGTTGAAAGGAAGAAAGAGAATAGTGAAATAGTTTAGCATACTCTCCTTCCACTCCCAGTTTCTAGAAAGCTTTATCACCCATCTAATTACATTAGTGGTTTTCAAACTATGTTCAGAACCCAAGAGGGCTTAAAGGAGGTGTTTCAGTGCTGACCACTCTAAGAGGCTTGGGGACACAAAACAACAACAAAAACTACAGGATTTCTTTGATTAGATTTACATTTTGGATTATTACGTGGATTTTGATTTTTAAAATCCATTTCCGCTGTTAAATTTTAGTTAAGGATCCCCACTAACCTTTTCTGCTGCTACAAAAAAGCTGAGAACACTTTCTTAAAATTTTTTTAAATACTTGTATACCACACTAAACCTCTAAGTCTACCTATGGTTTGTAGAACATTATTTCATAGAAATCTAAGAAAACGATATAAAGTGCTGTATTAACAGGTCAGATTTAGATTTTTTTAGCTTTTTTAAAATTTTATTTTTTAGTTGTAGTTGGACATAATACCTTGATTTTATTTATTTATTTTTATGTGAGGATCGAAAACAGGGCCTTGCACGTGCTAGGTGAGCACTCTACCGCTAAGCCACAACCCTATCCCCAATTTATGTATTTTTTTTGTGTATGATACTGGGGATTCAACCCAGAAACCCTAATTGAATTACATCCCAAGCTCTTTTTGTTTTAATTTTGAAACAGGATCTCATGTTGAACTTATGATTGTCTTGCCCCCCAGTTGCTAGGATTATTAAGTGTGTACCACTGTACCTAGCAATAGGTCAGCTTTTTAAAGATAGAAATATATAAATACTATAAAAGATGGAAAGATTAGCCTTAAATAGATATTATACTTCCCTAAGTATTTACCAATATAAGTTTAACAGTGCCCATAAAGTACACACTCATAATCCTGTCTATAAATAAAGTCTTCTTTTTCTGTCTTCTGTTTTCGTGTCAAATGTATAATGAACTAAAATTAATAATGAAGGAAGATCTACAATGAATGAAACTGGGGTGCGGTGGATTAACTTCCATGGGGAAATTCATTAAAGATTTGTATGGTTAGTATACTTCTACACATAAATAAACACGAAATTTCAAGCCAGACAACAGGAACACCAGTGGCAGAATGAGGGAGATGGAAAGAAAGAATACAGAAAAAAACTCTCAAATGACAAAAGATACAGTAAGATCAAGATGAACCACTACCATCCCAGAAGCCTGGGCTATACATCAGAGCAGTATACATACATATCTATATGTAACTTTATAATTCCTACAGATAATGTTTACAGAGATCCTACTTTTGACTTACCCTCCAAAGATAGTCTAATCCTATCAACTCCAAATCATCCATCATATAGGCTCTCCTTTTTGCTACTAGTTTTCCTTCTCGACAATTCACAGCTTTGAAGAATCGCTCAAAACATTTCATTCCATTTTCAGTTAATAGGGAAGGATCAAGCTGAAGCACATTACTTTCAAAGAAGTCCTTATTAATATCAGGATCTAAGTCTGGTTCATCCCCCATCAATTTGGAATACCACTTAAAACAGGCTTCACGATCACAAAGGTAAACTGCATTCTCAGCTAAGCATTTCCATATTTGTTTTGCCTGAGGAGCACATAGCCACAGTTGGCCATCCTTCAATAAAAATCTTGGAAAAACATAAAAAATTGGCAATTAGATTTACATAATTTTTATCCTGAAAGGCAATCTATCCGTATATGTATGAAATAATACATTTATCACAATTATTTTTTGTAACTACAGATAAAAAGATGTCAGTTCTTTCACAGGAACCTATTTCTCAACTTTTATCTAGTACTAAAAAAAAAAAAAAAAAAAAAAACTAGATAGGAATTCATTCAACACGCCCGTACAAGGCACCTAGTATAAGCCCTATGGAACTTCACTAAATGATTATAAAGAAAACCTTCATTCCTTGAATTGAAATAGGTCAGTCTGTGAAACCAGCCATTTTCTAAGTATATTCAATCAATAATTTGAGTTTAAAATAATGAAGATTTGGCATTGTTTAAATGGCATCACTGGGAAATGAGATATTCATAGCTCATTAATATTTATGGGTCAAAATTACTTCCATTTTAATACTTTCTGATGACCTAGTAGTCATCATCTGTTACCTGGTCACACTGAACACAATAACACGTATGACTTAAACAATGGTCAATAATCAATAGGATGCCTATCAATCATTTGGTGGTGCTCTCTAGGGTCTTTTAGTTTTCTGACTATTGGATTGGTCATTAAGAACAGACAGTAACCAAGGTGAATTCTGCTATAAATAGTCCTTTTTGGTAAAGCTTTCTAATTTCCTTTGGCATCCATTAACCCACCCTGTTCTGCCATGTGTATGAGACAGGGAACACCTCACTTTATTCTGAGTAATGTAACAATAATTTTTAGCTAACACCATAATGGTAGCCACATGCCCAATGAGAGTAAGGTGCATTTACTTAAATGTTAGGAGGTTCCTTTTCCTTTTCAAATCATTTTTGGATCTCAAATTAAGGCTTTTGATATTTTCACAGAACACACTTCTACCTAACCCTGAGAACCTCTACTTTATAGATCAAAAAAATGGAGGTCCAATGTGGAAAAAATACAATTGCTTTCAAAGTGTATTTAATTTTGTTTTCTAAAGATAACAGCAGAAACCTTTTTTCAAGTGAAAATAACTTTTAGAAATCTGATACAAAAGCAGAGCTGCTCCAATTCTTAGGAGAGGTAAAGAAAGGAATGAGAAATGGGGTTGAAACTTCTCTCGCTTATTTTAAAAAATTTTCACAGAATCTACTCAGAAGTCTGAAAAATTACTCATCTAATAGGAAGAACACAGACCTGTGGAGAAGTGTAATTCTATCCCATACTGTCTATGTGATTTCAAAAAAGCTACTCTGAGTCATTTGAATCTTGTTTTTTTCCAGATATCACCTAGCCTCACACTATGCTATGAGGTGTAAGGTGTTTAACACAGGCCAAATACACAGCAGCCATTAATTTGGTTACTTTGCTTTAAATCTGTTGTTACAAGTCACATAAGTACTAATGAGTCACAACAGGTCCTCCTGATCTTGATCTTAGAGAAAACAGGGTTACAACTGCTTTTCTGTTCTAATAAGCCAAAGGGATACAAGATACGCCAATCATTAATGACGACTCACTATTGCAGTGATTCTAAATCTGGGAAGTAGACACCTCTATGTGAGTGGTCAAAAAACAAATTTAAAAACTCCCCCTAAAACTACTTCACATTAAACAAATGCCAAATTTAAAATCTGGTTGAGTTTTTCTTAAGTCAAAATCATTCTGCAATTACTTAAAAATAAAGAAACAAAGTTCAATAAATAGAAGTCCCTAATTAACAAACCCCAGGAAGATACTCTCTCTAGAACTTTTAACAAAATAATAAATGCGATAGATTTTCTAAAGTACATAATTTGGGCATTTTTAGCACACTTATAATAAGAAAAAAAATCTGCTATATAATGTGTTTTATTTAATCCTTTAAGATACATCAAAAATTTTAACCACAAAGATATTTTTGATATTTTTCAAATTTTCAAATGTATAATCATTAAAAGCTCAATCACCAAGAAAATACAGTTTTGGGCATTTCACTTAGTGGAATAAACCTTATTTTCCTCATCCTAATTAGAAATCATGTTTCTAATGTGACCCCCGATTGCCCTTGCCAGGCATCGTCAAGATAAACAAGGCACTAAAGGACTAAAACTACTTTTACTAGGCGCTGGCCCAGCAACCTTTTGTCTCAACTTTCTTGGTGTCTATAATATCACAGAGATAGGTGTGGTTCTCTGTCCAGTTGTGTGAAAATATGGAAATCTATGCTTTAAAACTAAAAATAATTCCCACAATGAATATGAGAAGTCTACTCTAAAAAGCTTAAAATGTGTTTTCTTTAAATACTGCAAGAAAGTCACAACTCAGCCATTAATTTTAGAGTATTCAGTAACAAAAATAAGGAGATATTGTATGTCTTTTAGACAATGATTTTTACCTTTAAAAAAAAAAAAGTGGTAAGGGGAAAAGACCACCCAATGAAGATGTAGCTGTACAGCATATTCCCTCTACATTTCTTATCTATGTCTTAGAAAACAATGGAATTATATAAAACAAACCTAAGGAAGTTAAGCCGTTCTTGGACTTCTTGAACATGACTATATCTACTTCCCAGCCTCACAGTTTGTGGGTCATAGTCTTCATGGTCTGCAAATTAAGAAAAATCATGCATTATACACATGGATACTCATATCAATTATTTCTAACAAAGAAATTTTCAATTAAAAAAACTCATTAATCTTTTAACATTAGAAAGCAACTTGAAATCTACTTATAAGTGGTAGTTTTGAGTATTAAACATCTCCTTTTTTGTCCCCATGAAAAAAGAAACTTTCCATTCCTTTTACATGAACAAGAGAGATAAGGATCGGTTAACATCAGGAATTCTTCAGCATAACCTTTAAACTATATAATGAAGCAATTTATTATAGGCTAACACTCATTTGAGGGGTACGTAAAAACAGGCAACCAAGACAAAATATATTTTTTTATTCAATTTAGTACCCATTATACTGAAATCTGTCTTTGCAGAAAAAAAAGAAAAACTTCAGTATAATAAACAAATCACATTACTAATTTATAATTGGGAGGACAGGGTAACACAACATGCTACACTACATGACCAACTTATCATACCACCAATACCATGTCATGGATGTCGCTTCCCTTTAACATTATATACAGATATGGCTATACTAGATTCTGGACTTCAGAGTATGTGTGCAGTACTGCCAAAGAATTCCAAATGCATGGTGCCCTTTGGCAATAGTATAGGTAATCAATGTCTTCAAAGAGAGTGAAGTTTCTTCTCTAAACAACAGCTGGATGTGCTGTAATAACAGGACATTTACAATGTTGTGGAAATATTGTTTTTGATGCTTTGGTGATGAAAGAAGCTCCATGTATTATGACTGCTTTCTAACTGCGAAAATATTATTAGCTGCCAACAGTCCTAAATATGTGTTATCTAATTCCAGAAAAGTCAATTTCATTAGGGCTCAGAACTTAAAGCACTATGTCAAGAAAATGGATAGAAAATCAAATCCTATTCTGTCACATAAAAATTTTCTTTTTATAGCACTAGACTGAGAAGTACTCTGACAAATGCTGGATTTCAAAAATCCACCAATTTAAATACCTTCCCCCACCACCTTAATATTGGGAATTCATGAACAGTTGTATTTTTGGCAGGTACTGTTTTTAAGGGTAAACTTTTTAATAATTTCAAGCAAGTTTTAGAAATATAAGAATTTCCTTATAATCTTTATCCATATTCACCTATTATTTATATTTTGCTCCATTTGCTTCATTAGGTGCCATGTATACTCAACATGTATACTAAACTATTTGACAGTGAACTGGAGACCTATCCTTTTACTCCAAAATATCTCAGCTCTTCCAAATAACAAGGAACTGAACACGAATAAAACACTATCATCTAGATTTCTCAACTGCACACTATTGATATTTTAGGCTGGACACTTTGTTGTACGGGACTGTCCTGTGCACTATAAAATGTTTACTAGCATTTCTGGCCTCCACCCACAAAGATTGGGTAGATTTGCTTCTACCCAAAGTTAAGAACTATCAAAAAGAGCTCACTCCACGAAAGTAACACTAAGGCACATCCTGTCACTTGTGGCAACACTTAACAAAGCTACCTTTCGCTACATGGTTGTCAAAATGGTTTCTACTAGGTTTCTCCACTGCAAAGTCATCATTTTTACTAATTTGCTTTAGCAACCAACCTCTGCTCTTCTAAATTTAATTACCAACCATAGACAAAGGATAGAATTCAAGAGTCAATGAAAGCTAAACAATAATCAAGAAGTAAAAGGTCCCACTGTGCTAATTAAGAAGGATGAAGACGCCTTCTCACTACAGAGAAGCTTCCAGACAATGTAAACAAAAACACGATCTGGTTGATTTTGTTGTAAACATTCTGATGCAAATACCTTGATTCATTAATAGTCAAATAAGGAGGATGATCCATTTTTGACAGGTTGCCAGAGGTGGCGGATAACCCATTAAAAACGGGAGGAGTAATGACATGAGATCAAATTAAGTCAGGTGTCTTTGAAAATCGGTGGGAAACAGTGGTGAATCATGGCTGAGACAATATAAATTGTCTCGTGTCCTCATAAACAGCAAGTTGTCTAGGACCCATTTCAGAACTCATGAAAGAGAACTTTAATTAGTTAATATTTATTGAAATGTGACTCAAATACCATAAAAATCCACTAATTTAAAGCACACGATTCAATTTTTTGAGCTGTATATTCACCATCACTGTCTGCCCATTTTTACCTACCTCCCAACCCTTTGTCTACTTGAAACAGTTCATACAAAAGTAATCAATGCAACACCTAGTGTTTTCTGATTGGCTTTTGTCCACTTGGCATGTTTTCAAAGTTCATACATGTTGTATCATATATTCTTTTTAAATGCTGAATAGTATATATACATTGTATTTATTCATTCATCAAACATTAGACACTTTGGGGGTTTCCACTTTTTGGCTATTATGAACAATATTGCTAGGAACATTCACGTACACACATTTGCATGAATTTGTTACCATCTCACTTGAGTATATAACTGGAAACAGATCATAAGCTTTAACATTTTGAGCAACTGCCAACATGTTTAACAAGGTGGCTGCACAACTTTGCGACTCCACAAGCCATGTATGAAGCCTTCAATTTCTCTGCATCCTCACCAACACTTGCTGCTATCTTGTCATTCTAGTAGGGGCAAAACAGCTTATATTAGTATGGTTTTGATTTGCATGTCCTGAATAACTGATGATACTAAACTGCTTCTCTATTCAGATCCTTTGCCCACTTCTTAATAATCAGGTTGTCCTTTAATTGTCAAGTAATAAAAGCTCTGTGTGTAATCAAGATACAAGTCCCTCACTAGACGTGATTGGTAAATATTGTCTCCTATTTTTCCTCACATTGTCTCTTCATTTTCTTGATGCTGCTTTCACTTGTAGCAGGTAATTTTGAGAGACTCATGTAGTTCAATTTACCACCCTTCCTTTTTGCTTTTTTTGGCTGAATCACTTTGCTTTCCCTAACCTGAGGTCATATAAATGCATAACTATTTCTTCTAATAGCACTAACTATACCTTTAGCTGTTATTTTTGGGTCTAGGATTCATTTTGAATTAATTTTTAACATATGAGGCAAAAAGACTCAACTACAGTCTTTTAGATGTGAATATCCAATTGTTCCAAAAACCTTTGTAAAAAACAAAGGGGGGGGGGCTGTTCATTTTCCACTGTTAGGTTTGGCACCCTTGTAAAACTCAATCATAAATGTGAGGGTTTATTTCTGGACTGTCAATTATACTTCACTGACAGATACGTTTATCTTAGTGCCAGCACCACAATGTCTTATTGTTGCTTTGCAGTATGTTTTGAAACCAGGTAGTTAGAGTCTGCTAACTTTGGTTTTGAAATTTGTTTTATTTGAGCCCTCTGTGTTTAGAATCAGCTTTGTCAATTTCTGCAAGAAAATAAAGCAGGCTGCAATTTTTATAGGGACCATGCTAAATCTGCAGATCATCTTGGGGATTATTGTCATCCTTTATTCCATTTCACGCTGCTATGACAGAATACCTGAGACTGGGTGATTTAGAGAGAACAGGGAGTTAATTACAGTTCTGGAGGCTGGGATGTGAAGTGTCCACAGCTGGTGAGGACCTTCTTGCTGGGTCATCTTATGGTGATAGGTAGGAGGGCCTACCTATCACCAAAAGAGACCAAACAAGAGGGGTTTTTGTTGTTGTTTTTGTTGTTTTTTGTACCAGGAATTGAACTCGGGCATACTCTACCACTGAGCCACATCCCCAGCCCTACTTTATATTTTTGATTTAGAGACAGGGTCACTGAGTTGCTTAGTGCTTAGCAGTTGCTAAGGCTGGCTTCTGGCAATTCTCCTGCCTCAACTTCCCAAACAGCTGGCATTACAGGTGTGTGCCACCACACCCGGCCAAACTAGCTCTTACAACAAGCACATTCTCGCAACATCCAACTTGCTTTCTTGATGAGGATATCGTTGTACATGATCTAATCACCTTTTCTCGGGTCCCAGCTCCCCACACTGTTGGATTTTCCAAATATGTGGACTTTGGGTGACACGTTCAAACCACAGCATTACCTCAATAATATTAAAGTTCTGCACACCATGAATACAGGATGGCTTTGGAAAAAAGAGACCTAAATAATTACAAAGTTTTGTAACTTCCTGTATACCAGTTTTGTCCTCTTGTTTATTTCTCATTATTTTTTGATGCTACTGTAATTAAAACTGTTTCATTATTTCATTTTCAGGTTTTTCACTCCTAATGTTTATTAATTTTGTTTCCTGTAATGCAGTTGAACACACTCATTATGTTTTAAAAATAAATTCCTTATTATATCCTATGGTATTATAAACATATATAGTCTTTTACTTTGTCCATTTTAATCTAGAAGCTTTTTACATTTTGGTGGCGGGCGGGGTGTACCTAGTAAGCTTGCGTAAAATGTCAAATAGTGTGTTCAACAGAAGCAGCTAGAACATAGAAACTCATCTCACTCCCAATTCTAGGGGGAAAGTAACCAGTCTTTCAGCATGAAGTAGTATACTACTGTGTGTTGAATTGCTTTGTGTTCTTGGTTTATTGAGCATTTTTATAATAAGAGGGTCCGAGAATTTTATTAAATGTGTTTTCTGCATCTATTGAGATGATTACATAATATTGGTAGTTTCTACTATCATTGGGTGGAGCGTTCTATAGATAACCATTACGTTGAGTTAATTCACAGTGTTCCTCTTCCTTTTTTCCTGAAGATTTTGAGTCATTGCTGTCACTTGCTTTTCACTTAACTACTTCTTTTAGGATTTCCTTCAAGTCTGACAATAATGAATTCTCTCTTTGGCCTTCAGTTTTACTGAATGCAAGAGTCTTGATGGTTGGGTCCATCCCTCTACACTGGCATTTCGAACATGCTGTCCTATTGTCTTCTGGCTTCTGATGTTTCAGACAAGAAGTCAGCTGTTAATTGTTACTAGGGTTTCCTGTGAGGAGGAAAATATTTTATCTATCATATCCAAGTTTGGGCCTCTCTGTATTTTTCTTACTTGGAATTCTATTTTCTTGAACTTATAGGGTAGGGTCTTTCACCAAATTTGGGAGGTTTTCAATGGTTACATCTTTTTTTTGTTCCCTTCTCTTACCTATCTTCTGATATTCCTATTAGATGTATGCTGATATGCTTGTGTCTCATACCTTCCTGAGATTCTGTTCATCCTTTTTCTTCTGTTTTTTATTTTATATAATCCCAATTGATTTGAGTTCACTGATTCATTCTTTTGCCAGCTCAAATCTGTTGAATGCCTATGGTTATATTTTTAAAGCCAAGAATTCCCATGTTGCCTTTTTCCCTTTATTATTTAAAATAATTTCTTTGATATTGTGACATTGTTATTACTTTTGTTTTGTACTGGAGCTTGAACCCAGGGGTGCTTAACCACTAAGCCACATCTATAGCCTCCCCAACCCCAAGCCTCTCTAACATTTTATGTAGAGACAAGGTCTCGCTAAGTTGCTGAGGCTGGCTTTGAACTTACCATCCTCCTGCCTCAGCCTCCAGAATAGCTGGGATTACAGGCTTGCACCTCACTACTACTTTGTTTAGACATGGTTTCCTTCAGTTTTCTGGGCATCTTTGTACTTTTTAGTCTTTTACAAAGTCTACCTTCTAGGCCCCTTCCAAGGCAGTTTCTGCTGGGCCACATCTTCCTGTGTTTAGAAGCCTCATTTTTCATTGAGATGAAGATGTTTTAGAAATATATTGCAGCAACTTGGACACTGTTTACTGGGTTATCCGAAGGCCCAGTGCTCAGCCACTGACAGCTCTGCTCACGGGTTTTCCCCTTGTTTTTATCTTTTACCGTGGCTATGTAGGGGTCGCTCCTGGGTCAGTATAACCCTTTATTGGTCAAACTTGTACTTGAGACTCCTTCACTAGATTATTATCCATAACCACTGGGTATATGTGAGACTCAGAGGCTGTTATTACAGTTATTACTTTTTTTTGGTCCTAGTAACTTGGATGCTCCCTTTACAATTGTTCCAGAAAAGAGGCAGTTATTCCAGACTGTTGGGGATACATGCAATTTTGAAGCTTGGCTTCCTAGGAGTTCTTCCTGAGTCAGGGTATCTTATTGTTCATCCAGTGTTCTGTTGGGTCAGGAGTTGCATATGAGTTCTCTGTGCCCTTTAGGCCTTTACCATTTGCTGTTGGATCCTGGTACAGCTTGGGGGGACTATTTTTAATCTGCCCCACGTCCTGCTCTGATTGCTTTTGGGTGAGTGGACCCTAGTGTACACAGCATTTCTGTCCCTCTGAGTGAACTGTGATCTCAATATCTAGCCTGTCTCCTTATCTAGATCTAAACTTTTGGTTGGTCTCCTAAGTTTTGCTTGTACAAGAGAACAACAATCACCCTCTTAACTGTTCTTCAAGAAATCTCAACTTTTTTCATTAGACATGGCATGCTCTGGACTAAACAGTCAACCCTTCAAATCTAACTGCTGAGCTTTTCATCCCCACAGCTTCTCTCTTCGTCTGCACAGAACACCTGTGCCACTATAGGTAGGATAGCAACCAGCTTTTCCCAGAATGATATCCCTGATTTATGAACAGGTGCTGGTATGGGGTAAAGGGGAATCCACTGATTTTCTCAGACTGTCCCTTCTCACATGAAACGTTTACCCAAGGAGTAAGTAGGGATGGACCCAAGTTTTCTAAGCCTATAATCCCTGGAATAAAGTTTCACATTGTTAGTGGACACTGCACAGGGTAAAAGAGCTTCAGTCCTGGCAAGATCTGTCAGGAATGGAGCTTCTGCCACACGGAGCTGAACAAGGTAAGAAACATCAGTAGCCTGCAGCTTCCCCAGGTAAAACTGGAGCCCTATAGGAGCAGGTGTGGGGAAAAATGAGCAAGTGTGGTTCACATACTAGACTTGCTTTTTTCCTCTCCTTAAATAGATTTTCTTGAGTACATATTTCTCCATTTGCTATAACCCCCTGATGACTATTTCTAGACACTGTAAGTGATTTTTCTGTGTTCCCCCAATTAATTGGCAGTTTTGATAAGAAGGTCTGCCAGGCAGCTTATTCCAACATTCTAAAATTTAAACCCCTCATCCCTTGGTTTACATGCATTATGTTTTGCATTTATTAGTTCATATTTTCCTTTATGCCAACACACTCACATTTTATCAAATGGATTTAATTATTTTCATTATTTTGAATCAAGTTTTAGTCAGCAAAAGCCAACCACTCTGTCCTTTTGACTTATACCTTGAGTACTTTCTTGCTTTTTGGAATAAGATCTTGAAAGATCACCTCATATTATCTCTGCTCCAGACCTTGAAATAGCTATTTCTCCAGAGAGATATCTACTGATCACAAAATGGCTAATAACGGTTCATTTTTTAAAATCACAAAGAAGCCACACAGATCTAGTACTTCATGGCTGATGGGTAGGAATGTTTCAGCCCAGTATCTGCATCCTAACAGAGCAATAGTAGTTAATGCCACTTAGGAAGAATCCCACTGCCCACCCTTTTTTTTTTTTTTTTTTTTTTTTTTTTTGGTACCAGGGATTAAACCCAGGGGCACTTAACCACTAAGCATCCTCAGCCCTTTTTGACACAGGGTCTCACTAAGTTGCTTAGAGCCTCAATAAGTTGCTGAGGCTCGCCTTAAACTTTCGATTCTCCTGCCTCAATTTTCTAAGTCACTGTAATTGCAGGTGTATACCACCATGTCTTGCCCCTTTCCTCCTCCTTTTAGGTGGAAAAATGTTGCTAAAAAGTGTCAGAGTTGGATATATAAGAGGCTGGGAATGGGTAATAGAAGTGGCAGCCCTTAAAAAACAGAAGGCAAAAATGTGATCTACAGCAAAGTAAGTCATTAAATTCTATCTAGATATGAGGTAGAATTAGGTGACTGCGCCTAGGAAATGTTCTTTCCCCAAATGTGAAGATGTTAGTGGAGATGAAATATGGGCAGAATACTTAATACTAGTGAAATGGTTATCTAAAATTAAGAATATCAGTGACTGTGCAAGTCTGATGTTATCCGACTAAATAATATGTCTGTCTCATACCTAATGAAATTCATGCCACTCTTATATTATGTAGAGAACAAAAAAAAACACATAATTTACCATAGAACTGCAAATTCAGAAATCTTGGTAGACAAGGTTACCACAGAAATGACTTAATGTTGTGAAAATTTGAATAGGATTTCACTAGTGTTAAAAATTATTCCCCCATAATAACATGCTAATCATTATTCATTAGAAGAACAGTATTATAAATTAGAGGAAGAAATGGTGTCAAGGTGAGTTAGGAGAAACAGAAGGTATGAGATGGTCCATGAATTTAGATAAAAAGGTTAATAATAAAAAAAATTAAAAATTTACAAAAAAAAAATCAAGTGCTTACTCAGGGCCATACATTGCTTACTAAATAGCTTACTAAGGTTGTAGAACAATACATTTAGGTCAATGTTTCAAACTTAGACAATCAGATCATGCAGATTCACATCTCTTGCTTTGTGGAGATACAAACAGCAAAAGGAGGGGAAATTAAAGAATGCAAAAATTCTTATGGCCCTGAAATTGAGATGAAGCAGTAACTTATGAGTCTGAAGTACACATGCACTTCCTGTGTACCCAATAGTAGATTCCTCCACTCTGGACAATAAAAGTACAAATAAAGTAAATAATAGTACTGAAACATTCATTTATATGGCCCCAACTATGAGGGACATTGGCAATTGTGAAGGCTTTGTACCACAAAGAAATGAAGTCGTAATCAAAAGTCTGAGTTATGTTAATATGAGCACAAAAGTATGGGTGTTTGAGTATTGTGTATACTGCACTCAACCTAGTTTCTCTCACAATTTTGGCTGTCTTTGGTATAGAACGTGTATCACACGTTTGCACGCCTATACTGCCTTCACTGTTCTAGCCTGCTGCTTATAAGGAACACAGGACAGAAATGATAAAAGGTCACTGTCTGATGCCCATCACCTGCCTAACTCTTAGACTGCTTGTCCAATTCTACCATCTGGAAATGATCCAAAGAGAAAAAAAGGGAAGAACAGAAGCAACAAAGTCAGTAGGGCCATCTGAAGAGTTGCTTAATTCTTCCTTTGTGTTTATCTGAATTGATTTATAAGTACCATGGAATTTTATTCAACAATGTTGAGTCTACTCTGCTTCTCAAATAATGAGTATTACAATGTAATTATTTTTCACATACACTATTGGCTTCTCCAGGTCCTAGTGTACCATGTTAAATGAGTGCTATGTTTAGTAAATATTATGTTCAAGCCTGTCTTTAACAACGATGATATAAAGTTATCTATGGCTCTGGGAACAAACTATAAGGTGATGATGGGGGGCAGATGTGCATTAACTCATCTATACTCTAGCACACAAACAATCCTGACACAACTATTAAAAAGCAAAAAAAAAAAAAAAAGCATTGACACGGTTCCATATATGGCAAGCACTTAAAAATGGTCTGTTGAAACCATAGGAAACTTCATTCCAACATGTTTAAACAATTTCACATTTTTAAAGCAAATGTAAACATCCAGGTTCTTGTAGCTTCCTATTTCTCCCCATAAAGTCTGAAGCACTTATAAAACAAACTTAGGATTATTAAAAAACTAATATGTGCAAAACCAGACTTAGAAAAAAACAAATTTTCTTGAAAAAGCTAAAGGTGGTGGCAGTTAAGATTCAAAGGTTGAAAATGAAGTCAAGTACATACCTACAAAGATAACGGCCAAGTGTAGTACAGAGAAGCAGAGTGCACCACATAAGGACAGATAAAGAAATCAACAAGAGGAGAAGGCAGGCTCAAAATGTTAGACTAGAGTTTAGGATGTGTAAGATTTGACACTGAAAGTAATCAAAAGTCCATAAAGGAACATGATTCAAAAGCCAACTACCATGTATCATTTAAAATAGATCAGTCATTTCTAATGTAATTAATGTAAGAAAGAAATCACTGTTATTTCCCATAATTTATCTTATAGTACATACCTCTAGCATATAGTCTCATGCTTTCCATGTAAGTTGCAAGATTTTCAGCTACCAAAGTAACTAGGGCATGATTGTGCTGGAGTTGATTGATTAAATCATGGCGATAAAATACATGGGGACTTCGCTGAGTTTGACTGAAACGAGAAGAACTTCACAATATAATTAGGCAATTAAACTCTGTTGTGTTCAAGAGTTTACACATCTAAATTTTTAGCTAGTAATTAAAAACCTTTAAAAATTATACTTTCGACCATTTAGTTCCTTTAATAGAAATATTAAGCAATTTAAAAGAAAGCAATGCCTCAAAAAATAAAAATTATTCTAATTTAACTGAAAAACATACATCAGTATTCTCTACCTTCACCCCACAGGGAGTCTAGTTCAATGACTGATTTCTAGTATCATACTACAATAGTACCAAAGTATGTGCATCTGGTTTCATGATTATTTCAGAATTATAAAAACAGAAACATTCCTTCCAAGACTATCATTGTAACTGCTAGTGACGAATTTAACCAAAGAAATATTTTCATAAAAATTTTATTTATTACTCATTCAAGGTACATACTAGGATACTCGGTTTGTAGCCAAGACATTTTCTGGTGACACTCGTTGGAAAACTTGGCCATAGGCAACCAGTCAACTTTCATAGCCATTATTATTCATCTAGTGAAGATAACTACCAGTCCTTTGAAGAGTTTGGGAACTACTGTCTATGTACATGTACAACTATGTACGTGGTGGGCCAAACATTTGAATTACGTTCTTCAAATAAAATGTTACTATTAGTAAGATAATTGTCTGAATTCTTCCCACTAATTTATACCCCTAGCTTTTCTAATTTCCTATTATTTTTTTCCAGATTGAAGGGGAAAAAAAATGAGACAAAGTTCACCTGTTAACATCTAAACATATATATGACCTTTTCTATTTAGGCATAATCATAGTAATTCAGAGTTGTAATAGATCTTGCCAATCATTTAACTCCCCCCCATCCCCCAGCAGTACGGGGGATTAAACCCAGGGGCAATTTACCCCTCTATCCACTGAGCAACATCCCTAAGTCCTTTTTATTTTGAGATGGTCTAGCTAAGTTGCCAAGGCTGGCTTCGAACTTGTGATCTTCTTTCCTTAGCTTTCTGAATGGCTGTGATTATAGGTGTGCACCATCTTTATTTATTTATTTTTTTTTGGAGGGGGGGGTGGGTACCAGGGATTTAACCCAGAGCACTTTTACCACTGAGCCACATTTTCAACACTTTTTATTTTTGAGATAGGGTCTCAGTAAATTCTTTAGGGCCTTGCTAAGTTGCTAAGTATGGCCTCAAACTTGCAGTCCCTCCTGCCCGAGTCTCCCCAGTTGCTGGGATTACAATTGTGCACTAGCATGCCCCACTCCATTATTTCATGTTGTACAAAAAAAGAAAAAAAGATCCTTTAGAGAATTTTCATAAGCTTAAATGACTGGTTTGACACAAGGTTCACATTCCATTGTGAATATTCCTTACACTAAGCTCTTTCTGTCCACATTATTTTTCTTCTAATATTATCAGTCCCAATTCTATTATCAGAAAATTTAAAGACAAATCATTACAGTAAGCTACTAAAAGGAAACTTCACTAAAATAAAAATTTTAGATCATATTTTGTATCTTCCATTATTTAAATGTCCATGAAGTCTAATGTTTGAAATTAACTTTAAAAATTTACTAAAAAAGAAAAAGGTTCTACATTGAAAACTATTTGGTAGTAGTATGGTGATTCAAACAACAAATGCAAGAAAGATAAAATCAAATGAAGAATGAGATCAACAGATACAATATATGCCATAAAACTGTCTGGCCTACTTGCTGGAAATAAAATACCTCTGAATAGAGAACCACAAGGCAGTATTATCAGCTTGATTCTGACATTTATCCGTTAATTGTGCCTTACACTTTCTCATCAATAAAAAAAGGAGGCAGATATGACAAACTAACCCTCCTCTTAGTTGGTCACCACACTAAAATTTTAAAATCTGTTTTTTTTTTTTTTTTTTTTTTTTTTTTTTTTTACCATTTGTTATGCTATTTCTATCCAACAAAATACATACATAAAAATACAGTAAAATTGGCTAGGTTTAAAAGTCTTACCTCAAATTTTGAGGTGCTTCACCAAACAAACTACAAATTTCTCTAATTTGTTTCAGTGCGGGAATAACCCATTTGTCATTTGTGCGAAGTTCTTCTATAAAGCGATCTATCCACTGGATCTTTTGTGTGTCACGGTCCTTAAACAAACAATTTCAATGTTTTATATAGAACTATAATCGGAAGAATTCTACCTTCACACTTAAGAGAATTATGAAAATTTTTCTCGTCTGATTGGCATTACAATTATGCTGTAATTGTAGCAGAGTTTAATGTTTTTTTAAAAAACTATGTTTTAATTTCACATTTACTATCAAAACTCCAAAAAAGTAAAGCACTATTAAACAAATGTGGTATAATATATGTTTGCCAGAAGGTATTGCCTTTTATCCAGTGTTTTGAGATTTTGCCATATCACAGGATTGAACATTAACATATAATACCCTAAATGAAATGTTGTACTATTGAGGAAATTATATGAATTTTTTCTTACCTCTCCTATGAGCAAAAAGAACCTAATTCTGAAGTCCCTAATCAACATGTCTTATGATCTATTTGAAACTCGTATTTCTACATTGTACATTTGATAATACTACCATTAAATAGTCTTTTGTTTGTATTATCTTTCTCCCAAGGAGAATCAGATGATTCACAAAACCTTGATGTAAATACCTAAGTAAAAAAAAAAAAAAGGCAGACTTATTCAAACAAAGTCAATTCCTGAAGATAATTTGAAAAATAACAATGTTAGAATAACCTGGAACTGTTCTACAGCTAAGCTATCCTAACTGTGAAAGAGAAGGCCACAAAAATTGAGCAAAGCAGCACACCCTTACCTGGGAGCAACTATAATCCAATATTTTTATGTGGGCACTGAGGGCCAGGTCCATGATATCTACAGGCACATCATCACTGTGGGCCAGATTCCACAGAAGGTTCAACACTTTGTGTGCCATCACACCATCTTTATCATCTTCTGCAAGACGTCGAATCAGTTCAAGTAGCTTTTCACGTTGCTTTTTACTAGCATTCGTCCAACTGGCCTAGAAAAATAATTTCAGTGACGTGAAAACAACATCTATTTGGTTGCTGCTTCTTAAATGCACTGTTACCAAGTTAACTGAATTTAATTCATCAGGAAAAAAAAAAACATAGATGAGCACAGAATTATGTAAGTGATAATATGAAAGACAACAATAGTATTCACGGAGCAGAATCAAATTCCAGGAAAATAGGAAAAAGTCTCCTTTTAGAGTTAAACATCTTACCTTGGGTTTCCCAACTTCAGTATTACTGTCATTTTGAGCAGGAAACTTCTTTATTGTAGAGACTGTCCTATGAGTAGCAACCCCCACCCTCCTGTGATAACTATTTCCACACTGCGTGTGTGTCTGTGTGTGTGTGTGTCTAGGGGTGGGGGGAGGATAGTCTGTTGAGAATTAAGATTTGACCCTCTACTTGTGACTTTATAGAAGAGAGCAAAGACAAATTCATATATCAACATTTTCATAATGAATGCAAAAAGGTGATAGAACAATGTGCATTACATGTTTGAAAACAAGAGTCTGTGACAAAGTCTAAATTATTCACAAAGAAAAGTATCACACAGGCCGAGGCTGTAGCTCAGTGGTAAAGTGCTTGCCTCGCATGTGTGAGGCACTGGGTTCGATCCTCAGCACCACATAAAAATAAAGATACTGTGTGTTCATCTACAACTAAATAAATATTAAAAAAGAAGAAGGGCTGGGGATGTGGCTCAAGTAGTAAGTAGCATGCTCACCTAGCATATGTGAGGCACTGAGTTAGATTCTCAGCACCACATAAAAATAAAAAATAAAGATGTTGTGTGTCTACCTAAAACTAAAAAATAAGAAAATTTAAAAAGAAGAAAAATATCACACTAGGATCCTGACTCAAACATACTTCTAAAATCAAGTATAATCTGAGACACCTGTAAGATTTTACAGTGCTTGATGATGTAAAGAAATTGTTATACTAGTATAGCAATATGTAAAACAGTGGATGTGTAACTGATGTGATGCTGCAATCTGTATACGGGGTAAAAATGGGAGTTCATAACCCACTTGAATCAAAGTGTGAAATATGATGTCAAGAACTATGTAATGTTTTGAACAACCAACAATAAAAATTAAAGGAAAAAAAATAAAAAATAAAATACAGAAAATAAAGGTATTGTGTCCAACTACAAAAAAAAAAAAAGAAAGAAACTGTTATTTCTTTTGGTGATAATGGCATTGTAAGTATTCATGTGCTCATGTTTTAGAAATGTGGACTCAGATAACTAAATATGAAAAGAAGAAATTAAGGACATGTGTTCATCCAAACAAACCATAAGGTGATTGAAAATGACAACCACAAACTGGGAGAAATGTTAACTATTGAACTGACAAGAACTAGCATTCAGAATATGCCAAAAACTTCTGATTCAGTAAGAAAAAGACAACACCACAGGGGAAAAGGTAGACAAAAAGACTTAACAGGCATTGAGCAAAAAAAATAAGAAGAGCTCAAAAATACCCGAAAACATGCTCGATTTCTTTACTGATCCAAGACATAAACACTAATACCATAAGGTAACTTTTCACACACAGATAATCAAAAACAAGTTCTGCCAAGGATATAAAACCCTTGATGAAACTGTAAACTGATGTACTAAAAAGCAAAGACTTTCTGAGAACTCAAACATTTAAAAACCAGACTCTGGGCCAAGGACCTATAAAGTCTAACCAAGAAAGTTTGGATCATTTGGTTGCAATCCTATGAAGAAGTACAAAATGATCCAGACTTCACACTTCCTTTAATCATCTGTACTAGAAACTTTCGAGATACATTCCATAAGAATTGCTAGATTTGGGCTGGATATGTGGCTCAAGCGGTAGCGTGCTTGCCTGGCATGCGTGCGGCCTGGGTTCGATCCTCAGCACCACATACCAACAAAGATGTTGTGTCCGCCGAGAACTAAAAAATAAATATTAAAAATTCTCTCTGTCTCCTCTCTCTCTTAAAAAAAAAAAAAAAGAATTGCTAGATTTAATCAACGTCATAAAAAAGGGAAAAGGCCGAGAAAAGGGGCGACAAAATGTGCTTGCTACAAAATGACAAATGCTCCCCCCCCCAAAAAATTTTTTTTTAGCCAAGGGAAAACCATGATTGTTATATTTAGACTTTACTGTATTTAGAACACCCTAAGGAGGATCCAGGGAATGCAATAATAACCAATTCCTCTCTTTAGTCCATGATGGCCATCACTGGTCATGTGCCACCATTTTGGAAATCATCACAAGATTAAAACCAAATGGCAATTAACTATAGGGTACCCATGACAGTCTAGGGTGCCCATGGTAATGAATTCCAGTTTTTCCTCAGAAGTCTTGATGTAATTCAATGGACAGGAGAAAATGTATAAAGTTTTACTTCTACAAGTATAAAATACATAAAAATAAGGTACTAAAAACTGCATGAAAGATTCACTCAATACTTTATTCCTTCAAAGTGGATTTTTGGATGAGGCTTTAATTTACAACTTTAACATCCTTAGGATTCATCTGAGAAATCTGCTTACATACATACTGCCAGACTTCATACCCAGTGATATATATATATCTTTATTTTTATTGTTATGTGCTACTGAGGATTGAGCCCAGAGCCTCACACATGTTATACAAGTACTCTACCACTGAGCTATATTCCAACCCCTATTTTGTATTTCACTTACAGACAGGTCTCATGGAGTTGCTTACAGCCTCACTTTTGTTGAGGCCGACTTTGAACTCGTGATCCTCCTGTCTCAGCCTCCTGAACCTCTGGGATTATAGGGGTGAACCACCTCACTCGGACAGGTCTTCTATTCTTAATCCACAAATTCACTAAGCACTTGGGATTTTACAAACCAAACCCTACCAACTGATGAGAGACTATTACACAACATGGCCTTAAAACGCACAAGATGGCACTAATGCAAATATGATTATAGGGGTGTTGGGTTACCTTAAGAATTCTATTTCCATTTAGTCACATGCAGCTTGGGCATTTGTCCTCAGGACCGTGGTATTTGCATACCCTTCTTTTCTACTGTAATCAACCTTCCTGTAGCTCTATAGTTTGCTTAAGCCTATTACCAAAATATACACCATAAGGGGAGGACAACCCAAAATAATAACCTGATTTTTAAAAAGAATGACATTCCTTATTTATAAGTTATGATTACCATTGCAAAACATGAAGTCCTCATTGGAAAAGAAAACAGTGGCAAAGTCCTTCACACCAGAGACAGTTTAATGAGATTTCTATGAAAGTATTTTTAGTTAAGAACATCAATCTAATGAATCAATTCTATTTAAAATAAAGTGATAATATGTTAACAATTACCTTAAAGCAATCAAAAAGATGATCAAGTTGTTCAGGAGAAAAATCCCATGCTAATTTTGCCAATAGATCATGTACATTCTTTACAATGGCTTCATGTTTCCCCGCCTAGTAAAAAATAAAACCACAAGCATTTTAAAATGTGAACAGAAAAATAGTATGAACTGCTGGTAACTATCAAGTTATTCCATCTCCTTCATTTAATTGTGTTATGTAAAATTCCTAACATAAATGCTTTAAAAAATAAAATCTGGCAATTCAATTTCTGAATACACAGTTAACGTGTACTTTGACAATTACAGTTTACTAAATTTAACATACCAATTTATTGTAAATAGGAAAAAATAAGGCACATTAATGATACTATTCCAAAATCAGAACCTAAAATACTCAAAAGCAAAACTACTCTGATTTCTACAGACTTAAGAAAATCCAAAGCTTTGTCATCTAACACTCAACAATGCTTCCAAAGTGACAAATAAAAATCTATCATTAAGATAATTGAAGGATTTATGCATTTTTACATCTCTGAAACTTTCCAATTCTCCTGATAAATTATAAGACCTTAGGAATAATCACTACAGGTCTTTGTAAATAATTGAATGATATAATTATCCTGATATTGGAAGTTTCCCGCCCCCTTCTAAATCTACAAAGGAATCAGTTATAGTTGTCTTATGCTCTTCCAGATGTTATTACTTTACTATTTGCATCTTATTTAAAACCACCTACAAAATGCCAAACTTTACCAAATACAAATTGATAGAATATTTTACATTTTAAAATATTAATGGCTATTAAAAGTTTTCTAGAAAGATTTCTGTAGGAACTATTTAATGTACAAAAAGTCACATAACACAAGCCTGTGTCCCATTTCATGACTGCTGTATTTGAGATTTTAAGCAACTTCTTTCAGAAACAATATAACCCCCACCCTAAATTTCCTTACCTGTGCTGCCCAGATATTATCAAGATCTTGCAAGGTCAGAGCTTTTTCTTTGATGACAAAACGAAGAATCTTCTCCAGCTTCTCTACATACTGTGGTTGATGAAGACTATCTCGCAAGACTATGGATAAAATATTGTTCTGCTGTATCCATTCCTAAATAAATTTAAAAATGTGCTTCAAAAGCAGAAACTATAAAATGCAGGCTTTATTTTTTTTTTCAAGAAGTTTTATTTTCATCTTGGGTGAAAAGGCACTCTTTATATATCTTTTTACTTTATAAACTGATTACCATGTGCCAGACATGGCACCTGCTTCGATCAGGTCTGTCATATTCTAAATGAACCTAGTGAGGGGATATATTATCCTATTACAGAAAAGTAAAGGGGTTTGCAAGTGCTCAAATTAGAATCTGAACCAAGTCTGCCCCCTTCCATTGTCTGTTCCAGTAGCATTATGCTAGGTTGCTTCATTGACATTCTATTTAAAATCCAGCATCCATAGCAATGAAGGACCAGGTCATGATTTAAAAAAAAAAAAAAAAAAGGTAGTAATCTACAACGCATGGCTTTACAGTATTCAGCTGACTGAAAATAAGTAGTCAGGCCCAAAATGTGCTATAGAACTACACTTCTCAGCTGTTAAAGGGCTGTTAAAACAATTTTTAATCCATTATAGATATTTTCCTAAACTACAGTAAAAATGTGACTAGGTTAAATTACCACTAAAGTTTCTATACATTCAATGCTATTTTCTGTGCCAGACATGGCACCTGCTTTCCCAAGGCTGAGAGGGACATCACATGCACAAAATCAGACATCCATCTATCAAAACACCTCCCAATTTTAGCATTTACTTTAGAAAGTTCCTATTACTAATTTTATCTTAAGTTGATTCTTGTTTATTTAAAAAAAGAATCATGCTTGGTCTGGTGGCAAATACCTTTAATTCCAGCAATCTGGAAGGCTAAGGCAAGAGAACAACAAATTCAAGGCCAGCCTAAGTAAATTATTGAGACTCAATTTTTACAAGGGGCTGTGGATATAATGCAGTGGTTGAGTTCTTGCTCAGCACATGTTGAGGTCCTGTGTTCAATCTCAGCACCGAACAACAAAAAGAACAAGACTTACCGCCATTCGTTCGGCTGTGAGCCACTCTTCCTCCTCAGGATTACCATGCCGATGCGTATAGTATGACACACTAGATATCACCTTGTTGACTTCATTCAGTGCATTCATCTTTCCATTGAAAGAAGAAATTTGCAATAATCTGTAGGAGAAATTCAGCGATAAGTATGATTCTCAAAATTCACACACATGATTACTTCAAGAGATAAATAACTTACCTAAGTATCATTTTTAATCTAAATATTTCTAAGTTTTTTACAGTTTCTTCTTGTCCTGGAACCCTTGAAGCTAAATTCTTCAAAGATTTAATAATCATTGAAAGGGCATCATTTTTGGCTTCGTTCTTTGCTTCCTTTTTCAGTTCTTCATCAGTTAAGTTTTCTAAAAACTGTGGAACCATTTCTATTATTGGAAGAAAGTACTTTTTCACTGTATGAAGAGTAAGAAACTCATAGCATTGTCCAAATGGTCTGAAATAAAAAAGACGAGACTCCTGTATTAATTCCTTATAATCAATTAAGATAAAATTCTCAGACTACGTATATAACATTTTTTAAAAATCCAAGTAACATAAGAAAAATCCACATTTGAACAACTCCATTTTTTAATCAAGCAATAAAAATACAATTTCTGCGTCACACTGAATATTCATCTTAAAATATAACTTACTTAATAAGGGCTGCAATTATTTGAACATTTAATGCTGATCCATTAATAAAACGATCATGCAATATCTGGAACCCATTTAAAGTGCCAAATTTGTTGAGAAGATCCACTAGCCAACCCTGCAATACAATTAATGAAAAAAGTTAACTTCCTGCTTTTAGGGGAGAAAAACTACTACCTTGACTGATACATACTAGAAATAGTAAATTCAATAAAACAAAATTATGTCAAATCATTGTCGAAAAGACCTCAGAATACTGCATTTTATTCCATCATCCCACTTGAGATATGAGCAACAGACGTAGTAAGTACACTGAGACACAGCTCTTTACTCATACCATGCAGCCAGCAAACAGGTATTACAAGCCATGCTTCTATTTCAACAATCTCAACATAAAAGAATGAGTATCTTCTAAATATCTGCAAATGTTCTACATTAAAAGCATAAAGACTTCAAAATTTAATAAATCAAGAAAAAGCTACTTAGTAACATAGTATAATGAATTCTGAATCCATTTCTTATTGTAATTGTAGATACTAAAAAGTTGCTATAAATATAATTATTTTAAAGCCTGAAAGCAAACTGGCCATTAAAAACTAATCCTTGGGGGCTGGGGTTGTGGCTCAGTAGTAGAGAACTTGCCTAGCATGTGTGAGATACTGGGTTTGATTCTTATCACCACATAAAAATAAGTGAATAAAATAAAAGTCCATCAATATCTAAAAAAATATTTAAAAAAAAAATCCTTGATGTGCTAGGGATGTGGCATGGTGGTAGTGTACTTGCCTAGCATGAGCAAGGCTCTGGATTCTATCCCTAGGACCACAAAAAAACTAACACCAACTCAACATACCAATACCCCTGAGCCCCTGAGATTAATGATACCTGCAGTTCCTTTTGCTAATTTTTAAGAATGCATCTAGTCCTCCTCATCTTAGAAGCAGCACCATACAATACAGTCTTTCATCCTCTTCTTTAAGGAACAGTGGTGACTCAGCGTACAATGTAGCAGGGGCAGGCAATAGCTGTACAACTAAAACCATGTTTATATGTAAAAGCTTTTAACGTATTAAAGGTTAAAGCACCTAAGACAACATTTTACATCTTGCCTTCTTCAAAGAAGCCACATTTTAGAAGCCTCTGAGAGAAAAACATGGAGGAAAAGAGGCACTCTATTGAGCCTTAAGGAAAAATAATTTCTACTTAGAAAAAAATTTCCAAGAAAAAGGGAAAATGATATCATAGCTTTTATTGTTCATGTGTGTTTTAAAGAGAAAATATGGTAGCTGATAGGTTTGTTATTATTTTGGGATAACGTAAATCAACTACATTCTCCCCTAAGTCTACTAGCACATTTCCATCCAAGTTCATGTGGAATTTTCCTTTTTATTTGGTCTTAAAAGACTTTTTTTTAATTAGTCTTTTTTTTAATTAGACAATTAAAACTCTTAGTAATTAATTCATTAGACATTTTTGGGATTTAGTAAGGGTAAGAAATTACATGCTCTTTTTTAAAACAAAATGTTTTAATTGTAGTTAGACACAATACCTTTATTTATTTTATGTGGTGTTGAGGATCAAATCCAATGCCTCACTTGTGCCAGGCAAACGCTCTACCATTGAACTACAACCTCAGTCTAGTACATGCTCTTTATGTAATATATTCTTATTTTTTCAGTAATAAGAATGAGACTATTGGACTGATATGCTAATGTTATAAAGATAGCGTGTGTGCTCACAGTAAAGACTAGACTAGTTAAAATCTAATCTTTCCATATTTCTTCAGCTGCAATGTTTACATAATTAGGAATACTGAAGAGTACTTTAAACTGAAGTGTACTTAAGATAGCTTTAGCAACTGGAAAGAAGAGCCCTCCTTATCTCAAAGTTCTCAACACTGACAAGGATAGACCACTCACCCTAAATAAAAATTCACAGAGTCCATAATTCGTTATATTTTTAAAAAATACACAGACACACACATGCGCGCGCGCACACACACACATATATATTTGGTTGTAGATGAACACACAAGATCTTTATTTTTATGTGGTGCTGAGGAATGAACCTACTGCCTCACACATGCAATGCTTTACCACTGAGCTACAGCCCCAACCCTTGTTATATTCTTTAAATGTAGTTTTAACTACACTATTGCTTCAACCTATCAAGTTTCTACTATTTTGTTTTTAATCTTTACTTATTTTGCCACTACTGGCTCAGCATCCCTAAGCCCCAAATCCAAAATCCAAAATCTAAAACCTTTTGAGCAATAATGCACTTCAGATTTTCAAACCGGGGATCCAAAATTAAAAAACAAAAAATCCCCACATGCAAACCTGAAATCTGAAACTTTTGCAGTACAAGGATACTCATACACAACCTATACCATGGGGGGGGGGCCGCAGACGGGTGGTGTTGGGGAGGGGGACGTTTACATTTCCTTCAGGTTCTTCTTTAAATCACCCTACCTGCATCCAACTAGGGACACGGTTAAAAATTTTGCCCGATGTATCTTTCAATCAATTTTCAAAAAGTTGATAAGACATATTTAACAATGTGGAAAACATGAAATTTCTCTGAATGCAGGAGGAGGTAACTGAGCAGGATTAACTCCACAGAATAGGTTTCTCCATGGTTTAGTACCATAACTTTGGCTACATTCAAAAAGAATGTATACTTTTAAAGACTTCAAAAGGCTAAGTACCCTGAGAGCTATTTAAGAACCAGACTTCAAGATACATCTAAAAACTCTTAAAAAAAAAAAAAAAAAAAAAAAAAGTACCAGCCATGTTAAATCAAGTTGTTCCTCAAGTCTTTTAAGACTTGCAGATTATTGATCCACTGAGAAAAAACATAAAATTTAAAAATACAGGTATAGATAAAAATTGATTAAGACTGCAATTATTTTTATATTAATCTGATCTACTCAAGGAAAAATAAGCCATCTAGTGACAACAATATGAACTGAGAAGTATCAGAAAACATCTCAAGTTCAGTATATTTTTAATGATTTCAGCTTCTAACAAAATAAACCAAGTACATGCCTTCAAATTTTTGTGGCTGATCAGAAAAGTGAAAATTTTCCTAACAGTCACAATATTACAAACATCTCCCTAAATTCTAAAATAATATCATTGATAGCAATTAAAAGAAACATAATTTTTAAAAATTTACAGTAAGGGGATGGGGTTGTGGTTCAGCGGTAGAGCGCTTGCCTGGCATGTGCAGGGCCCTGCATTCAATCCTCAGCACCACATATATAAAAAAAATACCTTTAATTTAAAAAAAAATTTACAGTAAAAAAGACCCACATTTGTAAAAAGTATATAGTCTGTTTGCACTGATATGGGAAATGTACATTTATGTATAGAAAAAAATATAAACCTGTGTATGTGTGTGTGTATAAGCACTTATAAGATAAACTCGATTTTGGAGTAAAATAATCTTAAAATGTAGAAAATGTTAAGAGCCTTATAGAGCAACACCTGAGGTTTTCAATACAATATCCTACTCTGTTCTTATTACAAAGGAAAAACAGTCTGTTTCATATTAACCCAAATTATGATTACTTCCATAGAGGCTGAGTAGAAAACAATGAGGACTAGTTATACATAGAGAAAATTTTTAAAGATGGCCATAAGCACTGAACTAGAATGCTGTCTCTATGTAAAAAGGCTCCCAGTTTCATATGTTTTCATTTAAAGTCTCAAAGCAAATTTGACAGACTATATATTTCAACACAGAAAAACTTACCAGTAGTACAAAAAAGACAGCACAGCTTTGGTACAAAACAAAGAATTCAAAACACGGAATAATGCAAAATCCCTCTAAGAGCAATGGGAAATAACTCTTTGCCATGTTAAGAGGTTCAGGTTACAAATTCTGTGGCAGAGCAAAACAACTGTAATATTTAATTTTGGAAATAACAAACCCAACACACTTTTGGTGATCGAGGGTCTGGAGAACGAGCGAAGAGTTCATCTTCAGGCAACTGAACACTTGAGGAAACTGATTCGCATGGACGTGTACCATTGTAGATATGAAATTTGCAATGAGGATTTAAGGCCATGGCAAGAAGTTCTAGAAGTGGAAACCAGTCTTGGGACAACTTTGCTACACATAGCTCCACCAGGCGATGAGTATTGTTAATAATACATCTCTGTTATATGGGGGAAAGATGATTGAAAATATCAAAACACTGCACTTTTACACAAATATCTTATGATCTTATTCTCCATTTTTCTATACTAATCATCTGAGTTATATTTGATTTCACTTGTATTAGGATCAAACTACCAGATGACAAATAGCATTTATTTACTTCATAATTTACAGGGTATCTACTTTGAAAAGCCATTTCCTATGAAATAGGTGCCTAAGTTAACAATTCCTGCTCTACGTCCACACATAAGAGGTAAACTACCATTCTTTCCTCTTTGGAATTTGTACACCACCAGCACAAATTCTCTATTTTTTTCCTTTGATAGTGAGGACTGAATCCAGAGGTGCTCTACCACTATGCTACGGCACTTTTTATTTTTTGGGACAAGGTCTTGCCAAGTTCCCAAGGCCACAATGAACAGTCAATGGCTAATTATTCTTTTGTTTAACTGCTGGGAATTGAACCTAGGGCCTCACACACTCTAGGCAAGGACTATACCACTGAGCTACATCCCAGCCCTTTTTATTTTGAGACAGGTATCCTTATGTTGCCCAGGCTGGCTTCAAACTTGCCATCCTCCAGCCTCAGCTTCCCAAGTAGCTGGGCTTATAGGAGTGTACCATGATGCCTGACTCAGAGGCAGCCATTCTAAAACTCTACATAATGTCAATTACCCAAGATGAAGATCTGTTATCCTCAATGACACAATTTCTAGTTAAATCAGAAGATGTTGGAATTTCTATGCCATAATTATTGTAGGGAAATAGTTCACAGATGACAAAAAATATCATATGCTTTATAATCTATGACATTTCCATAGCCAAATAAGGAACAGACTTAGGGTAATTATAATATTTCATAGTCTAAGATATAGCTTGTTTTATTTTTTTAGAGATCTTTAGAATCTCCATCTTATTACCATTGATTAATGAGGTGTTTGAGGATGATTTGTTTGCCTTTGCTAGTTATAGAGAACATCACCAACATAAAACCTTTTTAAATTCTCTACTTAATGTTTATTTTTTTAATGACAACTGTAATTTGAATTCAGACTATGAGGCTGAGGATGTATCTCAGTGGCAGAGCACTAGCTTAGCAATGTATGAGGTCCCAAGTTCAATTCCTAGTACTGCCAAAATAAAAAAGTCTGTTGAATTCAGACTATAAAACTTAAATAACAGCATATGGTTTAATTCTTTAGGAGGTCTTTTTTCCTCCCTCCACCAGGTGGCAAGATTGAAACACACATGCTTCTTTGCCATCCCCTTCTGTATTGAGTTCATCTCATTTACCTCTATGCTGTCCTCAACATGTGTTACATTCTTGGGTATTTTTCTTCCTTAATGGTACATAAAACAGTGATGCATCTTTTAATTGATAACAACACATTTTCTTTTTGGTGTTACTGGGGATGGAACCCAGTGGTGCTTTACTAATAACCTATATCCCCAAACACTTTTATTGTTTTACTTTGACAGAGGGTCTCACACTAAGTTTCTTAGGGCCTTGCTAAGTTGCTGAGGCTGGCCTCAAACTTGTGATCCTCTTGCCTCAGCCTCCTGAGCTGCTGGGTTCAAAAGTATGTACCATTGCACTTGGCTGACAACATTATATTTTTAATGAAATGTGGCAGCCTAAGGTCACAAAGCACTTGAGAACACCACATTTTCTAATTCTAAACCTCAAGCTCATTCTAAATGACGATGCTGCCTTCAATAGGCAATAATAATAATATATTTTACAAAATTCTAAGTTTCATTTTTACTCTATTTTAATTAACCAGCCAAATACATAACCAAATAAACCACACACACCCCTGTACTTCCTTCCCAACCAAAAGGGGATCACTGGGCAAAATTATATAAGTCATATGCAACAACTTACATGTATTTCAAACTTCCATCCACTCACTGCTTCATCTGTAAGGATTTTAGTGAATGATATTGTTAGCCCATCTCGAAAAAATCGCTGACAGGCTTCACTTTTAACATCAAGGCCTAAAAGGTGTATGGGGGGGGAGAAAATTAGAATGCAACATAATATTTCTCTGGTTGTTTTACAATATTCAGTGATAAAAGGTTACAATTGGATCAAATAACTGTGAACCAAAATAAACCTTTTCTCTTTATAATCTGATTATCTCAGTAATTTACTACAGGAACATTAAAATTGATTAATACACATAGCTGTATTTCAAAAAATGAAGTTTTACTTCATTTAATTTTAATCTCCAATGACCTAAAAATTAAGTGTCTAGTGTTGTAATAGTCCTCCACTAGGAGAATTAAACTGCACCTAAAGTAAACCAAACAACTGAAATGAAAGATAGCTTTTACTTCTAGACAACTGAATATAAACAAAATCCCTTTTTACTGGCTTCTAATGTATTTAACATTGAACCTTATTTTTTCAAGTGTTTTTCTTTTTTTTTTTGGGGGGGGGGAGAATCACACCTGTTTTTTTTTTTTTTTTAAACCACATGTAAACAAGACAGTTTATTTTTAAAACACTATTAATGAAATGGCAATCTTTATTCAAATGACCATAGAAGATGTACTAGGTACAAAGACAAACACATTTCTTGATTCTGTCATTTTAGTAGATCAGTCAGAGGGCAAATGTAAATACTTTGTCAATTTATATAATGCATGTCCTGAGACTGGAAATGGCTCGAGATAAACACATACACAGTTAGCTATACCTGAAGTTCATACCATCACAAACAGAGTAATTAACAGTAAAATGTTATTTTGTATATACTATTTCCCCATAATGGACAGGATTCTACATTATAAAGTTTTTTTCACCTTTGAGTGACAATCCCTCTATGAATCTAAGTAACAGATCTGTTCCTTAGAAATGTAAATATTCATGAATTTTGTCTATTAGACAATTCATAAATACTCTTGAAGGCTGTCCAAAGATTATGAGCCTTGATCCTAAGCCACAGCACATCTTTATAACAGGAAAACAAAGTCTTCGGGAGATAAAGTGAAAAAATGTATCTAGTAGTATCCATTACAAAAAGCATAATATCAAAACTTACCTTTCTTACTAAGATCAATAGCAGCTTCTAAAAGCACTTCTAATTCCCCTTTCGGCAAAACAGGAACCACCCATCGAGGCCTAAGAATTTTTTTTGAAATAAAAGATACTTATTGGCTGTGCACTAAAAAGGGCATTATAAATAAGTTAGTAATTATAATTACTCAACCTACCATGAAATATTAATATAAAATAACATTAAAATATTAAAAACAGCAAAGCGGGCAGAAAATCTGCTTTGTTGGACTAAGCACCATCTGTTGTCTCTACAATTTTTGAAGGTATTGTAAAAATAAAAGCAATGAGGGAAGGAAACTAAATCATTCTAAAAAAAGGCAAATAAGAGTCTTTTGAGATTCAGAATAGCAGAGACATTCTTCAACTTCCTCACTAAGAACAAAAAAATTAAGAGGCAAATGACTAATTTAGGCCTCAATTCACCATAATTAATTCACTTCTTCTGAAGGGTAAGTGAGTTGTGGGTCCGCAGTCTCCATGTTTCCACAGAAGCCCTCTGCCCTGCACTCTCTCTGCTCTCCAGAAGACCAGCCTTCTTCCATCCATCCCTTAATCTGCTTTAAGAGCTGGCTTCTTCAGAATCCCCAAATACTCCTACACTTTAAAATAAGGCATTTCATTTCCAAACAATCCACGAAACAAATGTATATTACCTGTCATTGTTTGGTTTACATTTGAAAACATCCTTTGTATTTTTCTTCCTTTAAGGACTGTTAATAGTAATTTTTGGTTGAATGTATGAAAGGGGAAGATAAAGAGAAATTTACCTGCATGATATAGTTACATGTTTAATAATATATGTTCAGGTATTTTTTTTAAATGCAAAGGATTTTTATATCCCCTGACATTTAATAGTGATTTATTTTCAAAAAGTGAAAATACAAGGGGGAAAAGTAAAGCAAGTGCCTGTAATAGGGTTTGTGTATTTTTGTTACACTCCCTTTTTATGGGGCTGGGGGGATGCATCACAACTTTCTGGCACTCGTGTGTTGAACCCACAGCCCAGTGAAGATCATGCCCATGTGGATTTCCTTAATATGCTATTCTTTTATCCTTTTAAAATCTTTTTCTTGCCCTTCACAGAAGCTTAAAGCCTCGCTTTTGAGGGCTCATAAAGGGCAGGCACTGATGAACTCAGTCTTCTCAGGACCTGGGTTATCCCAGGGCCACTGAAAAATTATTAAAGTCATCCAACAACCAACATGCTTCATAAATCCTTGAAAACAAAGTACACAGGTAGGGCTGGGGTTGGACTCAGTGGTAGAACACTACCCTGGCTTGTGTGGGGCACTGGGTTTGATTCTCAGCACCACATAAAGAAATAAATATATAGTGTCCATCCATAGCTAAAAATATTCTTTTCAAAAAAAAGTGTACAGGTAGTTCTTCAAAAACATACTAGCTAGGGTGGTCATGGGTCTAAAATCTTTGATATTCTCATTCCCTTTATTAAATCCACTTAAAACCATGTTTTACAAAGTACTTAGCAATGAGTAAAGTGGAGACTCTGAAGGTGGGCAGTGGGTACCTGTGATATTCTTCTTCACTCTTTTCTTGTCCACTACAACACACAATGATGAGAAAGCTAACCAGCTTTCTCGTACGTTACAAACATTAAAAAACAAAACCAACTCACCTGTTGATCATATCATCCAACTTTGCCAAGTCAGTATGTGGAAATGCAGGTTCCTCATCTTCAACCTGTGGTGGGGCATCACCTTGACCTTGTTCATCTGGAGGAGTTGCCGGGGAATTTTCATTGGAAGAATCAGGCGACGAAGTCTTGATTAAAAATTAAATATTTCAGACTTAAGTTTCTATAATATATGTACAATATCCATTAATACAAACACCAACAGAGATTAGTATTATAAATATAAAAATTTTATAAAAATTGCATACTTTTACTAAAAATATTACTGAAAGTTTACAATGTTAGTTTTACTTAATCCTCAACAGCCCAAGGAAGTATCTATTCTACTGTCATTTAATAGATAAGAAAACAAGCTCAGTTAAGGTCACACAGCTCAAACTGTTGTCAGGACTTGAATCCAGCTCTATTTTAAAGTTTGTGCTTTTACCCATAATTTATAATGCCTCTCTACTAATACTTTTTCATTATATGAACACTATCATGATACAGAAATTATGGTATAAATATGAGACCTATTATAGATTAAGAAGTTTGATTTTCAACTTCCACTTTTTTTTTTTAAAGGGGAAAAATGTGTTTTTCTGTGAATATGGAATTCTCAAACTATTATCAAACAATAATTAGTCAGGCACAGTGGTGAGCAGCTGTAATCCCAGCTACTTGGGAGGCTGAGTAAATGAACTTTTATGACCTATATTTTACTTTTTTCTTTCTTTACTTCTTTCCTCCCTCCGTCCTTCCTGTGGTTCTAGAGATCCAACCCAGGGCCGCTTACATGTTAGCTTCAAGAGCTACACCCCCAGCCCATGACCCTTATTCCTAAATTTAGAGAGTAGATGTATTTCTCTTTCAAAATGAAATCAACCTAAATTCTAAATTGATTTTTACTCATACTTCTTGAATTTTCTACTCACTGTAGGTTGATGGGCCTTTCAGAAAGAGGGCTGCACCTCTTTCACTATCATCAAAGTGTCTACCGAATAGTTACATAATAAGAGTTGCATAAATAAATGTTCAGTCAGGTATACCACCTTAATATCTTTAATATGGTCTACTTACAAAGTTTATACATAAACTTAAATGGCCAATTAGCAAGTGAAGGGTGAACTTTTACTGAAGATGTTCCAGAGAACACGTCAGGTGCCGCAAAGCGACTCTCCAGGCACAGAATTCAAATGTTAGAAGACCAACAAAAATAACTAAAGTATATAAATTTAGAAGCCTGTTTCTTTTGTTGTTGTTGTTGTTTGAAAAAGAAGAAAGAAATCTTTCCCCTGGTATATATGTGATATTTTAAATATATATAAAATACGTATATCTCACAGAAAATGTAAAGATAAAAATAAAAATGAAAACATCTGTAACACCACACCAGATATGAACATATCATTGATAATGCACTGTAATCTGTGGGCCAAAATAAAGCCTGTATATATCTATGTATAAATTTTTAATAAAATTGGGATTATACCTGCTTATGTCTGTGCCCTTAAATTCAATACCTGAGTAGTAAATCTTTAAAATTAAGACTCTATAAAAAATTAATGGCCAGACAATATTACCATAAGGGACATTCACTATCTTGTAATTTTTGCTGCTAACAAATAAAGCTATAATTAATCTTTCTATGACAAATGTTGCATTTTTGCTTAGGATTGGATACTAGAAATATAATCACTAAACTGAGAGTATAAACAATTTCTTTTTATAACACTGACATATATGTTCCCAAATTCCATTCTAGCACCTTCACTGGCCATTAGATTTATGACACAGGAAAGACTTAACTCTGTCCAAGAACTATGACCATACACGTCAGTATTTTATGTCTTAAAAGTGAGAACTGGAGAGGAAAAGGAATTTTTAAAGTTGGCACATTTGTTAGGGGGACACCTGACCTGCACATTTCTCTAAAATATCAGAGAAGGACAGAGAGAAAGCAGCTCTGTCCCATCAGACTACTGATAGAAGATCTAATCTGTCACAGTTGGACAGTAAGAACTTATCCCCAAATGACAAATATATTGTACAATAAAACACTTTTGCCTTAAAACATTTCACACAGATTCTACAAAAACAAATTCCAACTATAAGCAGTATGTCTGTGACTCCCAAACAACTTCAACTCATTTATCTCTAGATGCTATTTGACCTGCATATCACAAATCTTAGTGTTCAACTTATTCAAGTTTTAAAACTCCCCAATATAAAAACTGTATATTAGGGGAAAAAAAGCTGAAATCCATTACCTAAACTTCCATTTCAAGAAATGAGAAAAAGTACAGCAGACTGAAATCAAAAGAACAGAGATAAGGGTAAAAGCTTGGGGGGAGGGGTCAAAGCCCCCCCAAAAGCTGGTTTTCTGAGATTTTTAATGAGATTGATAAACCCCTAGAAAAATCAGGAGAACACACAAATTAACAGTATCAGAAATGAGTAAGAAAATACTACCATAAGCCCCAAGACACAAAAACATAATAAAAAGGATAAAAAGATTATCAAAGTTAGTGGGGGCGCATAGCTAGCTCAATGGCAGAGCATGACCAGGCCCTGGGTTTGATCTCCAGTGCATGTGCATGCTCACATGCACACCCATTATTATAAACAACCATACCTCAATAAATTTGACAATCTAGAATTTGAAATGGAAAATTCCTTGAAAAGCATAATAAAAGACATTTTGTTAAAAAAAAGAAAATTCCTCTTTTTAAAAGAAGTTGGATCTGCAAGCAAAATCTTTGAACAAATAAAAAATTCCAGGCCAAACCATTGATGAAAAACTTAACAGAAACCTTAGATAAATTCATCTAATCAAACAGTAAAAGAATATTATTCAAAGAGTTTTAACCTTGACACCAAAATCTATGTTAAGCCCTTTGCAAACATTATTTAACTTGTAGTAAGTTATGCTATTAGTATATCCGCTATATAAGTAAAGAAAGAGACCTAGAGTTGAATCTTGAAGACAGTATGGTGCAAAGCTGCAACGTAATACTAGCAGTATGATTTGAGTCCATGCTCAAATATTCTGCTGTAAACTGACAAGGAATTTGTGTATATTTACAGGATACAAAGTGAGGTTATGATGTATGATGGTTCCATAGACTATACTTCACAATATAATATTTTTCCCCAAAATTGACAAGGCTTAAATAAATTTTAAGGATGACTGACTATATGAGAAAAAGATGGGCTATATACTCAAACAGCACTGTCTAAAGCAGTTGAGCTTTCTTATTACTGTGCAAGACCTGTTTACTTTTCTTTTAAAACAAAACTTATGGGGCTGGGGATGTGGCTCAAGCGGTAGCTGTGCGGCCCGGGTTCGATCCTCAGCACCACATACCAACAAAGATGTTGTGTCCGCCGAGAACTAAAAAATAAATATAAAAAATTCAAAAAACCAAAAAAAAAACAAAAAACAAAACTTATTTATGATTATTTCACAATCATTCAGAACATGCTTCATATCATATTAGTATCACATAATAGACATACCAATTTCAATGTCCTACCTGATTCTGTTGGAGGGGGGGCTGAGACTGTCCATCAGGAGCCTGGCCCTGGTTGTCATTCCCTCCGACTGGAGAGCCACGAGTCGTGGCTGTCATACTCGACACAGGGCAGATCTTTGCAATTTTGTCTGCTTATGTAGTTGTCTTGAGAAAAGAAATTATAGTCCACTTATACAAGATGAAGTACCAGCATTTGTCAGTCTTAAAAAGCTCCAATTCAAGAATAAACCATCTTGCAGAGACCATTGCATAACCTACAAGTAGAAGGGGAAAAAAACTGTTTTAGCTATAAAAAACATGAATTAAACAACTGTTCAAATTTAGTACCACCAATAAATAAATCAAGTCAGGAGAAGGTGGCTATATAAATGAAAGAGAAAAGTAAAAAGCTCAAGTTTCATACCATATTCAACTTAAACTGATAATGGCACATCAAAATATATTAAAAATAATAGCTTTAGTATGTAATATTTCAGTTTTCTTCTAAATCTGACTCCTGTTTGGAGTAGCAAGGCACTTAGTTGCCACTTGATTATTATGGAGTAACAAACTATCTGTCCTCAATTTGCCAATGCCTTAAATATATCACAAAAATGTGTGTAAGAGAAAGCAAAAACAAGATTTTTTAAAAACATTTCAGGAAAAACTGCACATCTAACACTTATTGATACTAGGAGATCATGATTGTTTTTAGTTTCTTTTGCAGTGCTGAGAACTGAACCCGGGGTCCTCTCACATGCTAGGCAAGTGCTCTATATCTCCATCCCTTAGAAGTAGTTTTAATATAAGCTTTTCATGCTTTGGGAAGAAAACTCCAAGAGTGTGCACATACAAAGGAAAGACTACATGAAGGCAGCCAAAAGGAGACCATCTGCAAAGCCAAGCAGAGACTTCAGAAAACATAAAATCTGACACCATGATCCTGGACTTCCAACCTCCAGAATTTTTTTTTTTTAATTTATATAACAGCAGAATGCATTACAACTCTTATTACATATATAGAGCTCAATTTTTCATATCTCTGGTTGCCAACCTCCAGAATTTTAAGATAGCAAATTTCTGTTGATTAAGCCCACCCCACTCCCCAACCAAAAACAAAAACAAAACAAAAACCACTCTTTGGGGGACTTCTTAGGAAAAGACAAACTATTTCAATACAAGTGAACATCAAGTGACTTTAGCTCTACAAATGTTGGCAAGGTGAAACCATAGGAAGTCCTGAAGCCCTGCAGGGCTATAAACCACACCTAATTTTAAGGAAATCCTAATTTTAAGCAAATCTTTGCAACCTACCAAAAGTACATAGGAGAATACTACCAAATCTTCAATTGTATATTCATTAGACCAGTGAATTCCATATTTAGCTAAATAGTAAAATCACCTGAGGTATTTTAATAACACTGATGCCCAGGTTCCTCTCTAGATGGAATAAATCACATCATTTCTTTCCTGTGATTGATTTCACTGTGCCACTAGATGGAGAAACTTATTACTTGATTGATTATAAGTACTTGGTTAAAAGTAAGGTGACCATACCTCCTATTTTTGCCCGTCCATGTATGCCTAAAAATTGAAATATAATCACTTAACCCACAGTCAAGGTTCTAACTTACTGGCTTATATAAGAGATATTATGGGTTGAATGAGGTGTCCCCCAAAAGCTCCTGTGTAAATACAGGAATTTTCAGAGGCAAAAAATCATCAAATTACAAAAGATAACTAGTCTGAGTAGGCTGATTGGGTGGTAACTGTGGCATGACTGGACAAGGTGGGTCACTGGGGGCATGCCCTGGAAAGGTGCATCTTCCCTGTGACCCATTCCCCTTTCTCTGCTTCCTGGCCGCCAGGAATGAGTGGAGCATTGCTCCTCTGTGGCTCCCTTTGTCCATGATGCTGCCTCACTTTGTGCCCAAAGCAACAGATCACTGGTCCATGGACTGAACCTCTAAAACTGAGGCAACATAAACTTTTCTTCCTCTAAATTGTTCTTATCGGGTATTTTGGTTGCAATGATGAAAAAGCTGACTAATACCGAGACTGAGAGAAATTAGCCACAAACATTGCAAAGTTTCATTTCTATGTTTTCTAATCACAACCTTGCCAAGATACTCAAGACCAAATTTAAAACATGTATATAAAACATACCTAGGGCTCATCTGCTTTCGTAATATTAATATCCAAGTATTTATCATGAGGTACTTAGGTGTATGGAATGTCACATCTATAAAGTGGTTTCCACCACATGTCCTACTATGCCTCACTGATTCTCACACCCAGTCTACACAGTACAGAAAAGTGGGTATTATCATCATCCCCATTTTATGGAGTCAAAAGTAAGATCTGCAAGGACTGGTCCACATTATGTAGAGCCAACTCTAATTCAGATCTGACTATATGACTTCTTCCACTTCAAGGTTTCTCTCATTTTCAAAACAAGCATATCTTATACCATACAAAAACAATGAATTGTAGGTAGGTTAAGGGAAAATGTAAACAGGAAAACTATAAATTAGAGAACATGTTTAAAACTTATTTAAAAAGCACACAGAAGTCCAATTTTTTTTTTTTTGGTTGTTCACAACATTACCAGAAGTCCAGTTTTAAGATACACCTTCCTCTAAGCAAAATTCAGAGACATCAGGGAGAAAATTGAGATTGGTTTCTGTAAAAATCAAAAGTAAGGGCTGGAGATGCAGTTAGAGGTAGAATGTTTGCCTAGGACACTGGATGCCCTGGATTTGATCCCAACTTTTACGCCAAAGACATTACAAAAAGAAAAGGCAGTTAAAAAAAAAAAAAAAAAGCCAAAGGATATAAAGTCTCAGAAATACAAGCAACCAATAAACACATGAAATAGACAACTTTAAAATAAACCTTTTCACATTATGCAATTGTCTGAAGCACTTTAAACCTCACAAGTATTTACAATAGGACCTATTCTCATCCCTCTATAGAAGAGTAAAGAGTGGAAATACCCTCCCTACAGCATTACTTAGTGGCAAAATGAATTTCCAACCCATTTCGCCACTAAGTAATTCTTAACTGCTACACTACCCTAGTTATCAACCTCATTAGCAATTGTGAAAAATGTCAGCTAACTCATAATCCCGCCCCCCTCCTTATTTCCCTTTGAGAAAAAGGAAAAAGTTGTTTTACTACAAAGGGGACTCCTGTCCCAGAGACTGTGATTCTGTCCATCAGGAGGAACAGAGGGTTAATTTCATTCATACATCTTTCTTTACTTCAAGTTTGTTGCAATATCTTCCTCTTGTCCCCCAACCTGTGCTCATTATTCCACTACATACACTTCTTCAGTGGGTGATACTAAGAGTTCCACATTGCTGGGCAGGTGTGTCAAGACTCAGCATACCATCATGCAATAATTTGATAACTTTTCCTCAGCATACTAGGTTGCAAGCTAAGGATCAAGAAGTAGGTATGCAACAATTAAAAATAATTCCTACATTTAACATAACTCTTGTTCAAAACCCTACCTACGACGCTTATAATCTGCCTATCTTAAATGCCAGTAACATCCTCCTTTTCTACCTCTTTAAAATTAAGACAGTTAATCACAAAAATGCCTTGAGAATTATAATGGTGTCTCACAAATACCAAGCACATAATAAAACTTTTAAAATATAATTTTCTTTTCTCTTCTAAAATGTACTTTGTAAGGTTTCTGAATATTTGGGGAGTGAATTTGAAAATGTTTTCAGAATCAATTTGGAAATTTTTGATTGGGATATAAAACTTTACTACAGATATTCTACAATTCTACTACCGAAAGAGGAAAATAGGGGCTGGGGATGTGGCTCAAGTGGTAGCGCGCTCGCCTGGCATGCATGCAACCAGGGTTCGATCCTCAGCACACATACAAAGAAAGATGTTGTGTCCGACGAAAACTAAAAAATAAATATTAAAATTCTTTTTTTAAAAAAAAAAAGAGGAAAATAACCCAGGAATCACTTGCTTTACTTGATTTCAAATATCAAAGAGCTTGTTTGCTATGTCAACAAGCGAATTTAGGCATAACTAAGCAAGGCTAGAACAAGCTTTCTTCCAAGTCAAAGTATCAGTATCTTACACAAAACTAAGCAGCTCACCAATTATTTAAATCATTTAAAATTTGACACAGTAACATCAATTCCTAGTATAGGTATGCTTGAATTCAACAAATCACAATGTGAATTTTTAAAAATTTTTTGGGTAGTTGTAGATGGTCAGGATGCCTTTATTTATTTTTTATGTGGTGCTGAGGATCAAACCCAGTGCCTCACACATGCTAGGCAAGTGCTGTGCCACTGAGCTATAGCCCCAGCCCACCATGTGAAATTTTACTGCATGAAGTTTAAAGAAAAAAACCTCAATAAGCAGAAAGTATCCTAAATTTTCTGCAATACAAAGTAACAACCAAACCAGCGATATTGCATTTGGGATACACTGCATTTATTTCATATTCAAACTTAACACTCCAACCCTTTTTTTGGAGGGGGGGGCTGGGGGGGAAGGGTGGTGCTGAGCTACACTGAGCTATATTCCCCAGTCCTTTTCATTTTGAAACAGGATTTTTATTAAGTTGCTCATGCTAGCGATGATCTTGTGATCCTCCTACCTCAGGCTCCCAAGTTGCTGGAATTACAGAAATGCACCACCACACCAGGGTATAACGTCTTTCACATTGAGAAAAGCACCACCTTTACCTAGATAAGGTTGAGCCCATGGGCGCTAACCACTGAACAACATCTCCAGCCTTTTTTTATATTTTATTTAGAGACAGGGTCTCACTGAGCTGATACTCTAACACATGGTAAATGACAAAACATTTTAAACTTTGTAGAACTGACTTCGCTAGCAACTTAAATAGGCCTACTTAAAATTTTAATGAAAAAATGTACAACAAATTGTTTCATCTTTGCTATAATCCAGTAAGACACATGTTTTAAGGACTAAACTTTCAAAATAACCATTTTACAGTACGAAAATATTTATTTTTAAGCCAAGAGTATTTACACCATTTTGAATTTTAGGTTTTTACTGCTATGAAAGATTCAATGTGCTTTTAAAGACAGTTTACCTATTACCTTAAAGAAAAAGTATCCTATATAATAGTTTTTCCATACAAGAAAGGATATAAGGTATTGCAGGCTTGACACACAGAGAAATTGCCCAAACCCAAATACTTTATGAAGCACAACACAAAATAAAAATAATGAATTCACAATTAGCCTTCAATTTTTCAATTTTTCTCCCA